TGAACGATTTCGAGAAGAGTTTCATGAAATCGTTCAAAAGTTTGTGTTTGTGTTTGAGATGGATTGAGTTTCTCCAGACATTCTTCACCAACCCAAAGATCCTAACATTATACACTATCCCATTTATTCTGCCCTTGATTATCTTCAGCCTAATTGTGCACGCCCACTTTTTAGACCCACGAGCCACTCCTGATTGATAGCACAGCAGACCATTGCCCTTGACGTTAGTCAGTCGGGGCAACATTTTTACCAAGGAACCCTGCACTGCTAAACCCCCAGCTGTTATTCATAGTTTTATTCTGTCGATTCCGCGTTCATCCCAAGGATGGCGACGATGTAGGCCCTAATTGAACCTTTTCCTATAATAACTATAACATGTATACATGTAATATAGTCACTCTTGATCCAAGCCTATCCAATACTCGCACCAGGAACAAGGTTTAGCTATCACTGACACATCTTGTACTTGTAATAGTATTACAAGGGTACATGTAGATCAGTCCCCTGAATTTTATATATACAGTTTAGTCCATAACAACAGCCTCCATTATTACAGGAACTTGGATAACAGAGATAGACCAAATTCTCGTTTTCTTCTCTCTGCGACAGTGGGTGTCGCATTCAATGGGAGAAGTCGGCTCCAACGAGGCAATCCGTAATCCCCGATTTTTTTCTCTATATAAGGCCTATATATATTATATATATATCTTTGTAAATGAACGTCAGCTCCAACGAGGTTGTAAACAGACCGAAGTCGCTTTCATTACTTTCAACGAGGTCGCGATTACCAAATACATGTAAAAGCAATTAACGGACACGCAAAGCACAAGGCCTACCCTCGATTCCTAAACTGTCCCTGTTGGACTTGGTGGATTATGCGGCCGCGTTTTTTCGAGTAATTCTGCAAAATTGGAATAATTTTGGATTCCCCGCGCTTTTTCACGTTTTCACAAAACAAATTAATTAAATTAACGCCTCGCCATCTGACTAAAGGGAAATAATCACCGTAATAAGTCTCATTTGAGTGACAAGTTGGTTATTTCCCTTGTTAGAAGATCGTGGTTATGGGTTGGGAATTTTGTTCCTTGAGCGTGTTCAATTTTTCAATCCATCAAAAGTTGTTTTCATGTCTGCTGACGTTTCGTGTTGGACAGGTGTCCCTGGTTTTAGTAATGTGCCAGCATCAGAGGTCCAGGTGTCTTTTTTTTTTTTCTTTCCTCTATAGATCTAGATCTACAGCTGAAAGTTAGAGATTCCAAGCTGTTTTACCGGGAAGTTGGCCTTTCTTTCGATATCCGACAAGTTAGTCAATTAATGAACTGTATGTGTAAATGGGGCCTAAGATACCGTCATATGTCACTTTTCAACATGCATTTGGCCTTTTTAAAATGACCTGGTACTGGTACCGAAGCGAAAGTCCGGGTTCAAGCCTCAGTTCGGACACATTTTTTTCGCCCCCCTCGCAGTAATGATTACCTGACTTTAAGTTGGGGAAGTAAAGGCAGCATGGAAAGGAACTGGCCATCCTACCACAATATGCAGAAGGCCCAGGAAGTTGCCCCACTAACAAGGCACAAGGCAATCCCCAATGTCCCGATCGGAAGCGGGAACAATTTTTACTGGTAAGCTAGGGCCAACTTCAGTCTCCAAGTTGGGTACAGTACCCTATACAAAAGGCGAGAATGCAGTGCATTCCCTGCTTCCAGTGGCATGGCATGAGCATGGAGCTCAAGATAAAGGTGATAATCCACCTCGGTTTTAGTTTTAATTAAGTTTTCTTTTATTATAAAAAAAGCTTTATGGCACAAGCAACACAATGAGGTCATATACGTGTCGAAGATTAGGTGTTACAAAACTTACAAGAGAGTAACAAACACAAAAAAGAAAGACGATTTCCGTTTTAGTAAGAGTTTTACGGCACTGGCAAAACAATAAGGTCATATAAGTGCAGAAGATTAGAGGACTTACAAGAGAGTAACAAACACAAAAAAGGAGGGGAGATAAAGACGATAGAAGTTTGATAGAAAAGAAGAAGCAAACCAGAAAGAGATGATGATATATATTTGATAGGCAAAAAGAGCAAACCACACCTGCCTGCCAACCATCCATAGTAAAAGTTTACAGCACTTGCAACACAATTAGGGGATAAAATAAGTACAAAAGATTAGGTGTTAAAATGGTTTAATAGAAGAGGAAATTGATTAATGTTTGAAAGCATAGAAGAAGCAAATCACACAGGAGCACCTGCCAACCACCCACTTCCACTTTACAACAACATAATTCAGACAAAACAAATATCTTCAAACAATTTCTTTTTTTTTATTCAGACATCAGCCATTTGTCCCAGCCTACAGATTTACTTCTTGGCGGGTTTGGTGGTCTTCTTTGCCCCAGCTCTCTTGGCCTGTTTCTTAGCTTTCCTCTTGGCTGCCTTGCCCTTGGGGAGGGGCTCCAGAGGCTTGGTGATCTGCCAAAAAAAAAATTAAAAATATTAATAAATAAAAAACATTTTAAATCATGAAACCAAGTAAGCACTTGTATTCATAATTCATACACCATACAAAGAAGTAACTGCTTAGACATACACTTGTCCACCCAAAGTCTTTTCTTTATTTTTTAAAATAGTTATAGTAAAGGTTTTACGGCACTCGCAACTGCATTAGGTCATATGAGAGCCAAGGGGCAGATGTCAAAAGAGAAGTCCTTACAGGGAATCAGACTTACTTTGCTCACCTCTCTAGCTTCAACAGCACAAAGTCTGCTTCAACTATCAAGGCACCCCGGAAATAGCAGGTCACAAGAGTGACAAACATACAAAAGAAGTAGAGGAAAATTGACAATAGTAGGGATGAGGGACGAAAAAGCAGCAGTTCCCTGTTGTAGATCAGGCGCAGTTATGAGCGTGACATTGACGAATCAGCTCTTTTACAATTCTACTGTGCACGAACAAGAAATGTCCCTCCTTTGGGAATGGTCTAAAGACACTTCAGTCAGTGGCACCGCCCCGGTAGGTCTTTTCAATGACAGTCATAGGACTCTAGGCGGTAAGAAAAAGACCTGAAAATAGAAGCTGTGTGTATGAATGAGGCTGCTAGTTTGAAAAGAAAAAAAAATGAAACCAATATTAATTTTTGAAACAAGTTGCGGTCTCTACCAAATGTCAGTTCTGAAGCGGACATTAGCAATTGAGACTCTCACCCTCAGCGTCACTTTCAGTAGGTAGCGTAAACACGGCCTCGCGGGCACTCGCGGCCCTTCCGACCGCGTGGTATCGGTAAAATCGGGGTAATTCCGATCGCTGTTTCATTGCTCTTCCGCAATAAAACACCAAATGCCGTACACCTTGTAAAAGTTCAGCTTTTCCTTGTTACAATGGTGTAAGTTGTTTATATGTCCGATTATTAGGAGCTGGAGAATCGCCGACGAAAGCGAAGCCCCTCGCGGTCGGAATGCGAGGTCGGCCGGTTGAAAAATTGACACGAGTGCGTTCAAATGCTTCGCGGAACGAAGGATGATAAAATACCGTCTTTTCATTGGTGGAGAACTGTAAAGCTTTAAACGGGCTTTCCCGTGATATAAGTTTAGCCTTTGGCGTCTTTATAGAAAGCTTTTAAAAATACCGTCAAAATGTTTAAAGATCCCTTTTTACAAAAAATATGTATAATACCGACTTATAACAGATATCAATTAAAAGATCAGTTCATTTTCTATTAGAATAAAGTTATTAACTTGGAATTATTTTTCATCAATCCTTCCGCGAGACTCAGAAAGAATGTGACCCCGCACGCGGGGTACACTACAGTATAGAGCAGACTTGCTCGCCGCGGGGGCCGGTGCGCGCCGCCGGGTCATCGCTCGGTGTTTTTGTCGAAATAACGACAGATCATCGTGTTGGAGGCAATAAAATACTGATTTGTAAAGATCTCAGTCTTTAAAAAAATTAGGCTCCATATATTTGTTATAGTGATTGTACTCTATTAATGTGGAGATGTTTAGAGCACTTGGTACATTTTTTATTGTCTGTCAAACATGGGGTTGCAGCCAGTGACTGACTGTAACAAATTTGATCAAATTTTAAACAACTACAATTTTCTTAAAAATTGACGGAGAGGTTAAAGAATGGTACCAAAATGCTCAGTGGATATAGGCCTTTCAAATGTAACAGATACATTTGGCATACAGCTACTTTGAAAATTTAGTTCCTGGTACCTACTTTCAGCCAGCCATCCTCTGAAATTTACTGAAATATTGCAGTTCCTAATCATTTCCAGTCACCTGAGAATTCAGTTATCTTAAATATGTTGCCCTTGGTCTGCCACTATCTCAGCCATCAATTTTTCTAGTCAAGACAGGATATTGAAGATCAGTGACTGCTATTTTAATGAGATGGATTCAACAGACACAATTAACACATTTTGTGAAGAATGAAAGACAAAAAAAATGTATGGGACAGAAAGTTGGGACAAATTTTGGGACAAATTTGCCCCAGAAAAAAGGAAGTGATGAGACAAAGCAGAAATCCAATTTACTTACACAAAATAGTTGTGGCACTGTATGTTTGTGTGTAGGAGAATGAAGCCTGAGTGTGCACAGTGATGTAGCATAAAAATGTAAGTGATAATTAATTTTGAAAAAGAAAAAAATATATAGATCTAAATCTTCCTCGGTGACAGGCTGAGAAGTGTTTTCATTGCCAGTGCAGCTAGTGCCAGGACTAGATCTAGATCTGTCAATAGATGTCTCAGGTCTGGGTACATTATATATCTTCTCCACTTTGAGGGCTGATTTGAACTAGAGTTTAGTATTGGGGCTAGATCTATCATCATCCCCAGCCGGACCAGGCTGCGTACTCGCTGAAAAATCAGCGAATTATTCACATTTTGATTTAAGAAGTAATCTATTTGATACTTCAGTTACTTAATGGAAATGCCAAAACTCAGTTCCAACCATTTTGTAGCCACTTTGTATGCATCAATGGATACATACACTTTAAAAAAGAGTTTTTATGAAATAAAAAATTCATTTTTTATTTTTTTTGTTCTTGTGGCAGCAAAAAATGGCGCTGATTCAGCAAAATTTCTTTATGTTTTATAAACAGTGTTTCTACAAAACCAATGTTGTTATCGATCCAGCTACAAAACCAATAAAGATAGAAGCTTCATACTTGGATTATATGTTATATATTGCTTGCTTCTCCTTACAGAATCAGATTTAATATCTATAATACGTTTTCCAAATTTTACCCTCACTTTGACCAATGTTCAGAATTCCATATTAGGCGATGCTGAAACGCAAAAGTGCCAAATAACACAAAACAGAATCAATATTCAGGAAAAGTGCTCTTGTAAGGAGGAGGGCACTTATCTTGGGAATAATGTGTGAAAATTTCAATGAAATCTGACCGTTATTGAGATACACTTTCAATAAAGTTACCAGTTAGCCGAAAATGCAATTTCGAGAAAAACACAAAGTTTTCGAAACATTGTGCAATCACAAACATCTCGGTTTTCACTAAAATCCAACATTATTCAGCAACATACACCACATTTACACAGCACAGGCTATTTAAAAAGCGATTAAAGATTTTGCATGCTGACATGCCCGTCTAAATTTATATATGTTAATGTTGCCATACTGAATTGTTTAGGTAAATTGAGTTTGTTGTTAGTCTTTCCACATCTTAAAGAAATCTTTAAATGATTTGGCAGGTGACTGCCTTTCTTAGAATTAGAAGACTCGAGACTTTGTCGAGCCCCCCCAAAAAAAAAGCTGCTACCTCCCCTTCATTTTCTTCCTATGTGTTTTGGTTTTGCAATGGTGGAATCTAAGACTATGCAACCAAGAAAAGCACACTGTAAGTTGGCACTACATGATACTACATGTATCTAGATCTGTATATTTTCTCAATTTATTTTATCCTATCTAGATCTATATATTTCTGCAGTCGCTTCTTTCAATCTTGCTTGAAGGGGTTAGCCGGCTTTGGGAACACTGGTCTCCGATTTTTTAAAACCCAATAATAATAAAGTAAAAAAATTGTTTTAAATTACACTAGGCCTTATAGATTTCTATTGCTAGATCTACGCTAAACAGACTTGTTCACTGCGAACAACCGGAGAGGCTAGGGAAGACATCAAAACAAATTTATCCTAGATCTAGATTCTAATTCTATAACTTTGTCGATCGAGCGCAACGTAGATCTATGCTTTGAATACCCCAGCCACATAATCATGGAAAGTACTGAAGGCTATTGTGTATTATATGTATAATCTCAACAGTTTAGATCCTGGATTAGCTCACTCAAAACGACTAAGACAAAGACATCGAACCGAACCACGATCAGATAAGACAGACAAGAAAAGACGAATAAGAAGGAGCATGTGTTCGGTAGGCCTGGTCGGGCCAAAATACTACACAGAATTGCAAATGGAGATGATAACAATAATTATTCAGCCTGTAAACAAGATTTATTAGCGTTGAAATTGGCAACACGATAGAAAACTCTGAAATGCAGCGAAAACGTTCACAATGGCCCGCAAGGGGAATCCCCTTCATTGCTACCGGCTCGGCGAATGAAAATTCAGTCCAGTCACGTGACGGAAGTGGCCAACCGGTATTAAGTACGGGGTCTTCAAACATACCTAAATGGGTCCCCAGAGTAGTTCCGTACGAAAACGAATGTGCAATAATCGAATAGTTCTTATCAGCCTTTCCAACGATACCAAACTTGATTACCTTGCAGCCACGGAAAGTGTTGTTGTCAAGGGGTAAAGTTTAGCATTTCTTGAGGTTTTGTTTGAATTTTTTTGCCTCCCCTACCGCTTTCAAATACATTTTTATATATATATTAGAGGTCTCTTTAGGTTTTGGGACCTTCACAAACGGATTCTTGACATATTTTTCTGTAAGAATATCCAAATACTCGAAGTTCCATTTTTTTAAAAGCAAATACCCGATTTTCTAGGGGATGAAGACCCGCGGATTCCCGTAAATCTTTAAAATTATCGAGTTTCAGATGCTACTCGCCGTGCCATGCTTCGTGTGCGAGAAACAAACAACTGCGCTGAAGTTCCTTACTTTCAGCTATTCAGTCCTTTGGACAACTAATGCGTTTATTCGCACTAAAAGTGATGAATATAAACAAACAACAAAGAACTAGTTCGATATCCTGTTTTAACATGCTGGGTTTACTTTATAGTCAATTATAGTTGAACATGCAGACGCTGCGATCGCGGTCCGCGGCAGGAATTTTACCGGATCGCGTATGCTGTGGGAGCAGTGCTCTGTGAGTTAAACTGATGGTGTCAGGCACAAATGAACCGACTTACACCATCTCAAATAGATATACGGTAAAAATTATTAATAAAAAGAAATGCACGACACACTGAAGTGAAATGTGAAAAGAAGTCTTTGACAATTATTTCAACAGTGTTTGGCCTCTCTTGTCTGGGAGACTCAGACCTGCCACTCTATGAAATCTAAAAATCAGGATGTCAAAGTAAAAAAAATCAGGATCTGGTGGAAAAAAAACCGGGATCAACGGCAAATCAGTCATAAGGGGTACTGGGGAAGGGGGATCCTGGTTCCCTTTTATGAGGAAAGTATGCAAGAGAAAACTTGAAAACTTTTGCAGGAATAAGTTCACATTTGGGCCACTAAATAGAGGGAAAACTGAAAGACAGCATTACTCGAGTCGGAGTGGGATAGAGTGGGGGAGCGCAGGTTGCAGTACAGCTGAAACTCTCTGAGTCTCGAAAATAGCTGACACATAACTCTAATCATCCACGCAAAAAGCCCACGTTTTCATACAGTAACAACGTTTGGCTTCCATCGCTCGCATTATACACTCAAGGCACCCCCCCCCCCCCCCCCCCACAAAAGATTGCGCCAAGGTTGTTCATTTATTTCTTTTTTCTTATTCCTATATCCTCAATCTAGATTCTACATGTATCACGGCACGCACTTTAAGCCCAAGTGTCAAAACAATAACACACACACCCCCCAGTTCAACTGACGGGTCTTGATGACGGGCCCGACTAACCAGAACTCGAAGATGAAGCTTGCTTTTAAACCAACGGCAGAACAACAAATAGATTATTCTTAGGCCCATGACATAATTGTTACAGTAATCGGGACACAGCCGGAGAATTCTGGGTTATAAAAGCGAAAGTACATCTTGAGCATATCCATGTCGGAATTCAAAATCGATACGTCGGTTTTAGTTGAAATAATGTGCGTGAGTCATCTACTAGATTCAGCACAGATGCTTCAGAAAGTAGCGTTCCAAGTTCCTGCCGAAGAAAAATCTAATCGGTGCTTCCAAGCAAAAGAGATTGCACAACTTTTTATATTTTTTCTAAGAATCGGACGCAACTGACGCAACGACAAAAAATCAGGATACTGGCGATCGAAATCGGGAAAATCGAGATGCTTGAGATTTGGGGGGGAAAAATCGGGATATCCCGATTAAATCGGGATGAGTTATCCAGATTAAATCGGGATGAGTGGCAGGTCTGGAGACTGCACATCTGTACCTAACACCACTTTTACAGTAAAAAACATAACTAAATGAAAACATCAGGTAAAAATTATTAAACAACCTTTTCACAAATAATTAGAGGCATTTGTTGTCAGACAACATAATCACAATAACTTACACCCCGCTTCTTATTCAACAGCTCTTCCTTTGCACGCTTGCGGGTTGTCTCAATATGGGCAGCTTGTTTCTTAGCATGCTTGGCGTATGGGTTCAGTCGAACCATCACACGATAGTTCTTCAGAGGATTCTTCTTCAAAATCCTTCTGCGGACCTCTTTCCTGTTCAAAACAGAAAACAAGAAAATCTGGTTGACAGGGGAACAGACAAAAGTAAAATACCAGTTAAAGATAGCCAGTGAAATAAGGATGAAGTTAGCAAAAAAACCTTCTACTACAATAGCTGGGGCCATGGTAACATACAAAGTAATCAATGTGTCTTTACTTAGTATTTCTGCCCACTGTAAAGGTACAACTTCCAATTTGAAGAGCCAAAATAGAACTACATTAAACAGATGAATGCAGAATCAAAAATACATAAACTAGAACTTGCAACGGGGTCATGGCAACATCAGAATATGGAATCGTCACTCTGTTCAGTAACACGGACCAAAGTTTTCATCACGGTTGCCCCACCCCTCCACAATACACATGGGAATTGTCCCCAAAATTCCACAGGCTTCCAAGCCATAAATTCAAAGAAAAAATTCACACGTACTTGGGTTCCCTGATCACGGACTGAATCTCATCACTCTTCAACAGACGAGCCAAGTCAAATGAAGCCATCTTGTGCATTGGGAGGCTGAAAGGAGAGAAACAGTGCAAAATTAAGACAAACATTATCACATAATGAAGAAGAAAAGCAAACAAAAATGCATAGGTTATGGCAACATCAGAATATGGAATCAGCATTTGGTTCAGTAACACGGACCAAAGTTTTCATCACAGTTGCTCCACATACTAAATGACCTCATGAATATTTCTCTCCAAGTTTTCTCAATTATACCAACAGAAAATTATGTTTTTTAAAATTTGTCTTCAGCACAAACTTTACATTAACTCAAGCCCAATATCGAAAAAGACTGGGTTCACAGCCCCGAGAAAACAACAACAAACCAAAACAGATTTTAAAATTTGTCTTCAGCACAAACTTTACAATAACTCGAGCCCAATATCGAAAAAGACTGGGTTCACAGCCCCGATAAAAAAACAAACCAAAACAGATGACCCTCATATAAAAAAAGACTGGGTTCACAGCCCCGATAAAAAAAACAACAAACCAAAACAGATGCCCCTCAACCATCGACACACTGTTGCATCGTGTGAGGAAGCACGCCGATATGCGCGGTTGCATGAAAGCACATGTGTCAGAAATGTGCAGGCTACATCTACCACAGAACATTTTTGTGACCTATGCAATAAATATGTCCTTAGCCTATACTATGTCTTCTCTTTACAGACAAGTCATTGCCTACACTCATACCATGTCTGCATGCTCTCTCTCATTACAGCAACTTTGGTGACTGGAATGTACAATCCCGTTCAATTAGACTTACCCATCACTGATATATTGTTTTTTCTCTCTGTATGAGTGTTTTGAATACAAAGTACACATACTCGGGCTGAGAATGGCAAAGCACAAAAAAGGCTGAAAACTAGGGGGGATTGTGATATCCGTGGGCCAAAGTCACCAGTTCTCCACGTGTAAACTACCGGTACTCGATTGTCACAACTGAATGCGATTCTACCAGTAATGAAGAAGAATAAAAAGTACTCGATTGAATGGTATCTGCAGACACACGAATGCGCACGCACCAGCAAGCAGTTAAAAAACTTCTAAAACTATTATCCTCTTTTATTCAATGCAATTTTTTTTCCTCACTTCAATATTATTATAATACGAAAATTGAAAAAAGGGCGGAAGAGGTGTTTGGATGAGCGGGCAGCGGTGTTGCACAAAGCGGAATTCCGCCTTTAGGCGGACAATTTTCAGCCCTGACATACACAACAATTTGGGACCTGAAAATCTTATGTGAGTGCAAGACTATTATGAAATATGCAGTGGCATTATGACAACATCAGAATATGGAATCGTCACATAGTTCAGTAACACGGACCAAAGTTTTCATCATGTTGTCCTACCAATGCAGCCTCTTACACCTGTAGAAGGAAGTCACTCCTGTGACAAAATTGGAACCAACCAACCCCCCCCCCCCCCAAAAAAAAAACAAAAAACAAGTACAATTCTTTCCATAAAATAAAAATGTTTTGCATCCCTGCCAGAAACAAAAATCCACACAACCAATGTTTAGATGGGGAGACTTTCTCAAACCCTGCTCAAGGTGATTTAAACTTGGGTACGGGGGGGATTATTATTTACTTGTAGCCTTTCTTCTCTGTGGCTTCCTTTTTCCATGTTCCATAAATGCTGTCCAGGCGCTTGAAAGCAGACTCTGTCCAGATGCAGAAACGTCCAACATGGCCACCAGGAGCAACTTTCAACAGGTTCAGCCTGTCCACACTGATTAAAGTGACACCTGGTTCAAGGGGAAAACAAAATGACAGTACACTGATGAGAATTTACCATACTTTGCAGTTCATGCAAGTTCAATCCAGAGTTCACACTTTTTTAATACACCACATGAATCTATATCACTTCTCCATAAATTATATACATGTACAAGGCACATCAGAATGGACATTCTATCATGAAATGTCTGAAACACGGACCATGATTTCATCACACATGCCAATCAGACGAGATATTACGGTTGAACACAAGGATGATTAACGCCAAATAAAGTTGCAGTTTTTTCCATGTTATAATGTCTTGTAGCCCCACATATTTCACACATGCCAGCTTTTAGACAATTACGTCATCTTATGGTTGAATTCACTGCAAATCCTGCTTTAATCATTAGTATAAGCTGTTAAAAATTTATGTAATTTATCCAGCAGATCATGGTGTGTGTGTGTGTGTGTGGTGGGGGGTACACCTGAATCTCGCTTATTACAGGACCGAATTTTACATTTCACACACATAAGCATAGTAGGGAGTCTCAAAATCCGTAATCAAATTTGAGAAAAAAGTTTCGTTTCCATGAATACGGCGGCCATATTGGATTTTGTTGACATTTCTTACATAATGAATACCGCACTTATCGCTCACGGAAATTGATTGGTTTTTGTTGCATGCGTGTTCACAAGCATTAGATCTAAAAATTTGTTTCTTGCTTTTTCCTAAACAAATAAGAACATTTTTAATGAATTTTTTCCTGGGGTAGCATTCAGGTTTGCAAAAAAAAATCTGTGAAAATCCACACTCCAAACGTCACCACCAAAAATCTATTCCATATAGCAAAATTCAACCGACAAATTTTTAGCATTACATCTTATCCTCATTCTGTGAAAATTTTATGAAGATTGGATGAAAAATGGTGGCGTTATTCAAGAACATATAGAGAAAAGTCACGTCTTGAGAAAACGGCAGAGTCCCAAGATACTCAAAGTTAATTTTACAAACACAGGTTTACGAGCTTTTTCAAAGCTCAATGGGCCAACCAATGTTTGTGGTAAGGAGGCTCTCAAACTTCCAATTACCTAATCCGGGATAGTTGGCAAACTAGCAAACAATTCACCTAGCACATAGCTTTATCTGTAATGACCACAACAAAGTAAAATAGATGCCTAGAACACATGGAAAAAAGAGCGTGACCTCAATTGTTAAGTATGTTGGTCATCACCCTTGAGGAGCTAAAACTGACCTGGGATATTTCTGAAAGCCCTTGTGATTCCATTGTCTTGATTGTAAATCACCAAGGGGCCGCGGCGTTGAATGCGCCTACGGTTCCTCATCTTTCCTTTTCCAGCACGGAAGCGTTTGCTGTTGTACACCTAAATTTCAAGGGGGAAAGATCATCTAAATAAGTACCAATTGAAAATCTCACACTCATGGCTTACAAATGAAGGGTTGAGATGCAAAACCCGCTACACCCATTTCAAAACTTTTGAGAAAATCTGCCTTTTTTATGCTGCTATACGCACGAACATGCGCACAAAGATTTTTTGGAGGCTTTTACGAAGTAGTGGGGTGTTGGGTTTTGGCCGCACACACTATGGCATTTGATAGGATGTAACAATGAGCATTTATAAGCAAAAAAAACTTGATTTCTTTCCAAAATGACCCTTAGCGGGTTTCACATCATGAGGAACGAAAAAGCAGCTGTTCCCTGTTGTAGATTAGGCACAGCAATGAGCGTGACATTGACGAATCAGCCCATTTACAATTCTACTGAGCATGAACGAGAATTCCCTTTGGGAATGGACTAATGACACTTCAGCCAGTGGCATTGCCCCGGGGGGAGAAACGACAACATTGCTAGACAGCAGGAAAGCAGACAATTTTATAGAACAAACTTTTTTTTTTGGTCGTTACCCCGATTCGAACCCAGGAGAGGCCAATACCTCTGGGCCACGAGAGCAAGCCAGCCAGCGCCCGCCCCTTCAATTGTAAATGTAATTTAGTTTCTACAAAAGGAAATCGCAGTCTTACCTTTTGAAATACAAACAAGCAAATTATCACCTGCAAACACATGGTACAGTATTGTGAGCCCTTTCAACTTAAAATTTTTTACCTTTTCAATATCAGACCATGCCTTCAGCTTTTTCAAGACAGCAACAGCCTCTTTGGTCTTCTTGATTTCCTCCACTTTGTCATTGACAACAAGGGGAACTTCAGGAATCTCCTCAATGCGGTGACCTGGGGGGGGGGGGGGACAAAATATAAGTGAAAATGCTGTAAAACCCAACTTAAAATATGAATAGTACGTTTGGGCAATTTGTGCTTAATTAACACATTCACTACCTGATGCATTATGCTGCAGTGCCTAAGAACATTGTTGCACTTGATACATGTCACAATAGGCTCCTATTTATTCTTTATGGTGTTACCGACCTGCAATTACACAACAACAGAAGATTACAGTTTTGTTCTTTGAAAGCAAAGAATTTAGTTTAAAAAATATCATGAGAAAACTGAAAATGGACTAGAGAATAAAAATACATCAGTTCCTGCACCCCTGCCTACGCCACACCTCACAATGTGCTTTCTAAAACTTGAAATATCACAATTAGCCATAGATCAGAAAATCAATACATATGTGTGCGTACCTGGTGAAAGGGACCACAAGACGTATTTGCTCCAACCTTCAAAGTTCAAAAATAGAATTTTTGACCAAAACTAAGTTCCATTAAAAACGGATTCTTTAACCATCAATATATCGATATTTACAAGGACTTGAGTTTCTTGTACTTTAAAATACATTTTTAAAGATGTTTATTAACAGGGCGTATATTGCACAATCCCAAATTATGCGTGAGAAAATTGGTTTTCTGAGTACACTCTATTTCTTGAAAACTCTTGCTCAAGGTGGTGGTGAATTTGTTTTGAAGACGTAATAATATAAACACTTTGAAGCTGTTCTTTCATCTTAAATGCTTTTTTAAAGTTAGTTTTAAAGTTAGAGTAGTGAATGTGTTGTCAGGTCGTCTCGAAGCGTGGATCTATCTATTTGAAGCAGAAACAAATGGGGAAACTTTTAAGTCGTTTTTCTCAAAGGGAGTGTATACAGACCCGGTAGAGGAACTCTTTTATGATTTCAGTAAGTTTCAGCGCCCTCTTGGCTCAGGGTAGACCTAGGTTCTTCTAGGTCTATATCTAGACCAAGGAGATGAAAAGTTCTAAGCTCCATGATCTAGACAGACAGACATAAATTATAAATCATTGATCTTGTTACGAGGCTATTCTAGATCTAGATCTAAATCAAGATTGCGGATGTCTTTTCGATGAACGATCGTCCGTTTTGGAGTTAGAGGAATCACAATTTAAAGAAAAGAAACAATGTCATAATTTCAATCGAGCATTCACCCTCTCTATTTCTCTGCCTCTCTCTCTCCGTCTCTGTGTATCACTCGCATTCTCTTTTTCTTTCTCTGTCTTTCTTTCTCCCCCATCCCACCTATTTCCCACTCTATCTTTCTCTCGTTCCCTCCTGCCAACTGGGACATGTCATCTAGCACTTCCCTCCCTCCACCTCTCTCTCACACACACACTACCGGGTCTGGGCGCTAAAACTTTACGAAATCACAAAAGAGTTCCTCTACCGGGTCTGTATACTTCGTGACTTAGTTCCCGGTCAAAACCTTGTTTCCGTACCCTGCCCTATAAAATCACCCTTATCTCAAAAAGATATCTTTAAAATTCAAAAAGCATATTGTTCAGAAATTATCTCTGTACATGAAAATGCAAAAAAAAAAACCCGCAGGATTCTTCAAAATGTGTCATGTGGTCCCTTTCACCAGGCACGCCCACAAATTTATAAATTCACTTTTGTATTTAAGGAAGGCTGATTTCATGATAGGCTTACCTGTTGGGCGCTATAACCAAAGGCAAACCCGAACCAACCCAGAACAACACTTCAAATCACATGAAATCGCTGTAATATCAAACGGGCTTCATTTTTAGTTTTATCCCTTGATATAATGACAATAGATGCTACCTCTGAAAACAAATTGGTCAGACCTGCCAAATATGCAAGCACATGGAGCAGTGGAAGCATGTTTTGGCTCACTGAACCAGCAGGCCAGGGCAGTCAAGGTGTTAAATGATCATAAGTCAAATTACTCTTCAATCCAAAGTAGCTAAGCAAGTAACATGAAACCCAAACCTGTTAACGGAGTGCTTCCATCTTAAATCCAGATGTGGAACACATTCTTTTATGCATTTTCTGTAAGTATTGTATCATCCACTATGCAATTGAGTCTTACACTGCATGCCTCTCAGCCCCTTCATTTTTACCATCACTCTCTTCTTGAGGACTGGTGGGACACCTAAAAATTGTGTTTTTGGGTGAAATTATGAAAACTGGGATTATCACTTTTTATATTTCCTGAACAATGTCCAAAAATGTATGAAAGCGTTTCTGTACCCTAAAGTGGTGTTTGAAGGGACTTTACAGCAGAGGGTGGGACTTTTTAAAAGAAAATAATTGCCACCTTTTGTCTCAAAAAGCATATTTTGCACTGCTTGTATGCTTCAGTTTTAGTAGGAAACCTTCATTTTATGTCTGCTGTGTTAATATTATCCAAGTAGTTGCCACGTTTATGCTAGAAATATGTTTTTGAAGGGTTTTACAGAAAGAATTATTTTGGCCTTTTTTGACCTTTTTCTCAAAATGCTATTTTCACACAAATCATCCCATTCTTCTGCTTTGCTTCTTATTCAATTGTAATGTAACTTTCACAGAATGTTAATGGCAACTAGTTCTAAAAAGTGGTACAAAAAGCATTTATAGTTTTTGATAAATGGTCATCAAATGCAGAATTTTTCGGATTTTTTCAGTTATGCAATAAGCCGATAAGTGCCATGGAATGGAAACTAAATCATATATATCGCTGGTCTAGAGCAATAATGTTGTAACTCTAAATTGTTGAAAATAGGGTTGTTGCTATCTTTAAAACAACAAAGAGCCATTCTTTGTGCAAAATTAATCTCAAATTCGAATCATAAAGCCGAGTTTCGTAATGCAAAATTGTAACTTACTACAAATCCATTGTGGTATGTCACATGCATTAAAAAAATCGATCCATATTTTCACAATCATTTTTTCCAGTATAGCCTCCTCTTATAAATCTAGATCACTCGTCATGTCTTTTTTTATATAATAATTTTGTTTAATATGAATTTGAGAAAATGTTAATTTTGAACTTTTGTAAACCTTTTGGGTCCCTTGATGTGTTCAATATATATTTCATTTCAATATAAAGAAATCATTATCATAGCTGCCACTCAGAAATTTTAACAAAGGAGGAAATTCACGCGAAGGCGTACGCGCGCTCTCCCAAACCAGTGAGATCCAGAGGCAATATATACTGGAAAATCTGGCCTACGGTTTTGGAAGGGAAAACGGTCATATTGTTAACCATAGGCAACTGAATTAAAACGTATTTGAAAAAAACACACCAAAAAAAAACAACATAAAGGCAGTAAGTTGACTAACAAGCATTCGAGTCAATTTGACACAGTTTGGACTTGGTGACTAAAAATCCAGTGTTTTTTGCCAGCTGGTGTCTCAAAAAAAGATTTCTTTCACTTTAAACTTGTACATACATAGACGTAGAGCAGTATCGGATCAAGGATGCAGGCCCTCTTGTACAATGTACAATTGCCATCCTGTTTGCACTTAGTGCCCCTGTAGTGTGTTTCTTATTTAGAGATCTAAACTGAATTAAAATTATAGCCTAGGCTATCTAATATATCTAAATATGTGTAGATCCAGATTATATCTAGAGATAGATTTTCTAGATCTAGATCAAGATCTAGATTCACTTCCGCAGCAGCCACAATAGCCGTCATGTAAACAAACCGGACCGCAATTGTACAAGAGTGCCGCGGCCCGCTATTTCTTTCGCAAAAAACGGCTGCTTCTTTCTCATTCCAGCTCCTTTTACTTTTGCATTCTGAATCAATTTCTCTCGAATTTCCGTCAATTTCAATGACAACTCGGCGCATTAACGTCCCGATGCCTGATCGACACTGTGTTGCTCCACAACAACAAACAATGTGAAACTAGCGCTGGGCCTAGAAGAACGGAAGTAGAAAGCTACGGGCGGACATGCTTCTCTCTGTGTTCCATGTAATTATGTTTTGAGATTATTATTCAACTATTTGATAAATGTCTTTAACAGAACTGTTAAAGGCCACATAATTCCAAAAATCTTCGAACAAAAACATCAATAGGACAAGAAAGTTGAGGTGCCAAATTGTTGTATCTCCTACAGGCTTTCCACAAAATGTTTGTATATTCCCTAAATCTGTCTTTACACAGGAATATTATCAATACACAAAGGGTAGCGTAATATTTGTAATAAATACTTAATCTTGTCATGATGAATCAACAGTAAGACGGTTTAATGGAAAAACTGATTTCCCAGCCCGATCTGAAACTTTAAAACGAAATTTCTCAAATAGATGATTTTTGAGTTACAACATTATTGCTCTAGAAAAATTCATCAAACCAATTTTTAGATCTGTACTTACGCACATGCCAAAATAAAAGTGTAATTGTTGAAAAACAAGTGAAAAAAGTCGGATCAAATTAAGTATACAAAAACCTAATACAGCTGCCGTTTCCATGGCAACCGAACCAGATTTACTTTTTTTTTTAAATAAGACTTTATATCCCCAATGATACAGGATGTCCCACAGCAAATATGAGCTCTCTTGGGTGTGTATAGCCGAGATAGCCTCCAGGTGCCTCACCAGCCCTTAAGACTATAAACCCACCTCTTGAAATACCCCTGCTCTTACCTTTGGACATAACCAAAGCAGGAACACCAGTTGCAGCAATGGCAGATGTGATAGCGTAGCGCCTCTGGTTCACATTGATCCTTCTGTGCCAGCGGCGCCATGTCTTGGTGGGGGCGAACATACGCCCCCCACGGCACATGTTGCCAAAAGCACCCTGGCCAGAACGGTGAGTACCGCCACCACGCACACGTGGGATACGTGCCACAGCACGTCCAGTACCCCAGGACTCGGCTGATGTCTGATGACCTGTGGGGACAATAATGTAATATTCAACAAATCCATTTCCGATGTTACATTGTAACTCAACAATGCCTTAACACACTGGACTTGGGATTAGACCTTTTTCCTTCTCCCAAACAAGATGAGTTCATTATACAAGACTAACCATGTCTCATTCAAAGGCAAAATCCATACTTTCAATTCCAGTTATATGGCAACAAAGCTTAGATTGTTTGTTTTAGTAGAGGTTTTACGGCGCTCACAGCTGCATATGAGTGCCCGAAGATTAGAGGTGTTACAAGAGAGTAACAAACATAAAAAAGAAGGAGGGGAGATAAGAACGATAGATGTCTGATAAAATGAAGATGAATGGGAGAAAACAGATATATGTAAGAGAATATATAGCTTGTTCACTTTCGTCTGACTGCGTTAAAAAATTCTAGCTCATTGAGGAATTTACCTCTATGCCCACGAAACTTTGCATGGCACTTCAGCAGGCCAGCGACCAAACAAAAATATTTTTTTCAAAAAACCTTCACCCAGTAATAAGAAAGTTTTCCTCTTTTGGCCCTATATTGAAAACCGCTCTTTGGATGCATACACAGGATCACTAAAATACAAGACTTACAGTAGCCTTGTCTATAAATTATTCATTTGAGGCAGCGACACCGCCACGGCCCCACCTTTCAGTGTAAGCTTGTAGATTTCATCCTCTGGCTGTCTAGACGTGCTCCACGAGGGTCTCGAAAAATACTCCGTTTCTTGAATCGTGTTTCTTAAGCGAACGTTAAATAGTGGTATTGAGGAAAACATGTAAACTTTTCAATGATTTAGGTGTACGCTGTAAGTCCCCTGTTATTTTTTTAACCCGCTTTAACCTTAGTTTGCAGTGACTTTTATGAATGGGCTAGACCTGCATGTGAGCCCCAACCCCCCCCCAAGAGCTTTTAAATTTTTGGGTGTCATAAAAGGAATTTACGTGCGACCACCCCAAACAAATATAATAAAAGACCTAACCCTAACCCTAGACCTACCCCCAAAAAAGAACTTGCTACGGCCCTAATGTAAAAGGCCTCGAATGTAAAAAGGCCAGCACTAGTCCCCCCCCCCCCCTTAAAAAAAAAGCACACTTCAAAACAAACAAGGAGCATATGGCCTGTGGGCCTTCATTGCTATAATAGGGTTTGAATTGGAATCTGAATCCTTCATATAGTTTATAGATCTAATAATCTAAATAAATCTAGATCTAGTAGAACAAGTGAATAGGAATAGAAGGCCTTGAACGAGAAATCCGCATCCGATTCCGAACAGAGGGACTCAGATGAGTCTAGAGATCTAGAATTCTAGATTGTAAGTAAATAATTCACGCACCTGATGAAATGCGTTTTACTAACATTAATATTACAATATTACAGCACAACCTATAATAGAATTGGAATATGAATCCTCCATTGAGGTCTATAATGATCTATAAATCTAGATCTAGATCTAGAGTGGAACAAGTGAGTCGGGACTTGAATGAATCCACATGATCTACAATCAGTAAACAAACGAAATTCAAAATGGCCGCTCGAGCACGAAACTGAAAGTAGATAATTTAGGTCGTCGTACTTTTTCGTATTCATATTTCTACTCAGGTTCCGACAATTATGTCGGAAACGCCGACGTCGGCACGAAAACGAAAGAGCCGACAAAGCCCACGGGAGAAAAGTGGGCACTGGCAGTCGGCCAGGCCTCGCACTTCACACATTGAATAGTACAGGTGGGCCTAGCGATAGCATCGGCCAGCTCGCGGGTCGGGTCGCGATTGTCGGATTTCAGACGAATGTCGGCAAACATGCAGGTCTAATGGGCTTTTAGATTCTGTAGGTCCCTTAACTTTTAGACCCGCATGCAAAGACCAGAAAGATTAAACAGAGCGAATTGTTTTTATCCCATTTAAACCGTCAGACAAAAGTGAACAAGCTAAAGTACCAATGAGACTCTCTTGACTTTAAAATTTATGCACAACATTTTTTAAAACAAACAAAAGAAAAAAAACACCAGACCGCCAATCACACACACAATGGTTGCATTGTTTAGTTTAGTTTTAGTAAGGTTTTACAGCACTCACAACAGGTTGCATTGTGCTAAAGATCTAATTGAACAGTATTGTCTTGTATCAGAACCCTGCTTGAAAGTTATTAAGAACTACTGTAGGTGTAAATAAAGAAAACTGCACAACAGAACTACACAAGTCCCTCATGTTTTGTTTGAAAGAATGAATAGCAAACTCCACCTTTGCCACTGCTCTGTTGACATCCACCCCTTGGCACCTATACGACCGTAACTGATTCCGTCCATTTGGCTCTGAGTTTTTCCGTTGCATCAATTTGGCCGCTGACAGCGGCTCAACAAAACCCGAAACAAATGTGCACTTTTTTAACATAATTCCTACTTTTTAAGTTGTCGAAAGGAAGTAGAACTTGTAAATAAACCTGACCTCAATCTCTGAGTGCCAATATTGATCGAAACACCGCGAAATTCTTGCAAAAATCGTTTTGATGTCGCTGTGTAGGCTAGATCTAAGGGTAAATAACACGGAGCCTGGTATAAGAAAAAAGCCCTTCAAAGAAAGATATTCAACTAAATTTGTGAAATTCTTGCATAAATGAGTGCTAGGGTGATATCGCTACAATTTTTGTGTTGATTCCTATGGATTTTAAGGACTTGTAGAGTTGAAAAATGCGGGGGGGAAAGTCGAAAGTTTCGAAGAGGTGTTGCGCAATTTTTTTTCCTCATTCGTTTTTGTCTGACAGAAAATACAATACAAACAGGTCATTGTTATTGATATAAACAGATCCCTCTATTGGTTCCCATCACTTTGGTATATGACAATACTTATTAGAGTAACTTACAGCTTCACAGTAATGCATTAAATAGATGCACCCCAGGTCTAAATTTGAACAAGGAAAAATAATTCAGTCTAGAGCCTGAAAAAATCATGGACGGAATCAGTTAAATGCAGTTGCGAGCACCGTAAAACCTTACTAAAGCAGAATCAGTTAAATTAAGTTGCGAGCACCTGTAAAACCTTACTAAAGAAAACAACCCCACTTGTTACAAAGATCAATATCCATTTAGCAAATTACTATTAGCAAGAACAGAATGTACCTGCTTTCTCAGACACAGCATATGGCTGGCGGGTATTCTTCAACATCTGAAAATGCACGGCATTAACAATGTCCGGGCGAATTGGGGCCTTAAAGACTGCAGGGAGGGCAATGTTGGTGGCAGTAGCCTCACCCTTCTCGCTGTGTACAGAAATAAGTGGCCGGGCAGCCTGAAAGACAATAAAAAGACATGAACAAACTTTGAGAACACAATGACAAATGAAAATGTATTCCAAACCGGGCCCATCCTAAAGTCTAAAGTACTTACTAAAACACTAGAAACTGTACTTTGTAAACTCAACAAATCCTGGATTTTTAAAAATTTCTGGTACTTAAAAGTAAGCTTTGACAAGTAAACCAAAAGGAGTAAGTTGTAATTCGGCAAGCTGATCTACACTCATTTTAACTGCATTAGGATACCTGCTCAAAATTCTGCCTAATCAGAAAAACATTCCAAATCCCGTTCATCTCTACGATCAAGTCCACCATTTAATAGATTTATTCATTCGGTAGTTTAACAATATGGATAAAATTAATTTGTGACCCCGCAAATCATGCTGAGGGCATGGAAATAATAATGAGTTTTTACAGAGGTGTGATTTGCAGCTAAAAATACTTCAGTTTGACCTCCCGAGCAGTGCAACTGTGTGTGGGAGTGATGACAGTAAAAATGTACCAAAAATTGGTAAATTTTTACTTTCAATCTTGCACATAGATGCACAGCTTTGGGGGTCAAACTGCAGTCAGTATTTTTTACTGTCATTCCATGCGGTATCTCCAAAGATTCTCTACTGGATCTATATGATCTTTTGATATCTCCACAGCCTTCTAAAAATAGTTTGTGGGCATCCCAGGATGTGATGACATCACATTACTAAAATTAGCCACCAATCAGGCAGGTGTGTTGTTCTACGTTTAGTCGTATGTGTGACAACAAAAAAACTAGAGGCAAAATGATGATAGATCTAGTAAGGATGAGGAAAGAAAAAGAAGCTGGATATAGATCTAAAATCTAGATCTACAGTCAATTGAGGCCAAATCGACCACTACGCTCTTACCCTACCCTATATGAGCGATCTACAAAGATAACAAGAAAACCACAGAGTAAATTAGAGCTCTTTTGTGCTCTGTGTTCTGCGTTCGTGAACTTCCCACACACGGCTCTCTCTTTGCCCCTCTGTGTGTGGAGGCGGGGGTCTCTTTCTCTCTCCCCCTAACCGTCCCCCGGATTTATGTTCCATATAAGAAGCGTATTTCTGCTTGAGTTTGTGTGCGTTTGTGGCCTCCTCCTAGTAGCAATGCCAATGAAAATTTATTTTTTCACTTTAGCCCTTTTTTTATTTGGTACATAAGAAAGAATTTTCAATTCTATGAATTATGCTTCTTGAATTTTAAGAATCGGTTCATAAATTTAAAAATTTATGGGGTTGTAAAGGTTGGCAAAATATGGATGACCCACATATAGGAAAATACTCCTAAAAAGTGGACCACGCAGTAGCAGATTCTGTAAGAAAATCGATATCTCGGTAACTAATAGAAGTGTTAGAGAGAAACTTGGCTACCCGATGTGTTTTTGGGTGTAGAAATCATTTCTGCAGTCAGATTTACTGCCCATATTACGATTTTGCGAAAAAGGGGTGTCGGGATGAGTCCATTTTATTTATAGCATCGTCTCTCAACATGGATTCTGTAAGAATATATGTCGGCTGCGTGAATAAATAATTGCAAAGCTTTTTATGGTGGCTTTAGACCATGCCAACCGTAAAAGATAGTTAATTCAATCTAGCATGCCATACAGAGGGCCCCAGCAAGGTCCAGGGACAGCGTCCTGGAGGGGGTTCAGGGGGCGAAGCCCCTGAAGAAATTGAAATTTAGTGTTTTTGGAGAGTTAAAAATGGCATTTGGGAGCCTGTTTGAAGAGATTGCATTCAGCCCATAACATTTATTTTTTTCACCAACATTTTGTCTTGTTTGATTTCTTCACCAATAGATCTATATCTTTCCATTGCTGGCAATGTATAAAAGCAGGTTCCCCTTTCATTGCTACTATACGCCCGTCACAACACCACTTCGGGCCCGATCCCATCCGTAGTGGGCACCTCGTGTCAGCATAGTATATATATTTCTTTTATCACTGCCCTAATCGTGTTCACGTGCCGTAGAATCTTCGCATTGATAATTTCTCTAGATCTAGACAAATTTGCAAAAAAAAGTTTCTTTCTGACAGTAATTTTCTGTTTAAGATCACAACTCAATTTACTTAATCAACACGCAAGATTTTCCAGCTGCAGCAACAATCCGAAGATAGACAGAAGGAATGAGTGAATGATAGAAAGGAGAAAATTGGCACAAAAAGCTCGCCAGATTTTGATCCATCTGCATGTAAAAAATGTACTGCCGACCAACCCACAATGAATGCACGGGGCATAGCAGAATAATGGCCAACTGAAGGAAATGAACAATCTGGCAGGTTTCTATACCATTAACTTATTGCCGAGAGAATTACCGTAAATTTCCGTAACTCATAAAAGACGATACGAAGGCGAGTACGGAATTTCGGCAGTCCTGCGATGGCGCTGGTTTTTTTTACGGAGGGAGTTGATAATGATGGAGGGACAAGTACGGAACTGGCAGAAAGTACGGATTTCCGTAAAAATATGGAAGAGTGGAAGCACTGTCTATTTCAAGTGACCAATGAACGGGCCCGGAATAGTCATGCGGGGATTTGTAGGTCACATACATTTGCTGTGAGAGTGAGGGGAAAATGGCCCGTCTCCGTGCGAAGCCGCTTTGAATAGGGGGTAGTTGTAGATTTACGATCGGGTCTAAACAACTACTTAACACAGAACGTTCAAATCTGAGCACACAATAGAGGATAGATAGATCTATTACCATCTCGGCTTTGAAATTCAAACTCCTTATAGTTTTCGGTGTACCTGACACTAAGTGTTCCCGACACCGAAAGTATAGGTTAATTTATGCGTACGAACTTCAACGTCCACATATCATTAGTTTGCCCTATTTTCTGATTGGTTGCCGAGTTTCATTCGGATTGGTTCAGAAATAGAGTAGACCGAGGTTGACAAAGTTAGTCACCTTTGTTTCGGCCGGGTCCGCAAAATCATCCGCAAACGGGGACCAAATTTATTGGCATTGCTACTTCTCGAATCGCCTGTTTTGGTTCTACACCGAAGCATAAGCTAGTCTACGGCTCATTCAAAACATGCCAAGTTGAAGTTGGCAGCTCTAGATGTATGCCCAATGAAATTAAAAAACAAAATGACCCACATAGACACGAGGAGCTCGAAAGGATAGCCAGGAAACTCATTTTACTGTAAACAAAATCTTTCAAATGAGCTTGAATTTATGCAAAATGATATTCCCTGATAAAAATGTTTATAGATAGTTTGGAATACCATTGTGCGGGTAAAAAGAAGAATTTGAGTGCAAAACATTCGGAAATCGGAGTGTCTACGTACATGGTAACCGGGCACATATTCTCAGTATCATGTACACAGTAACCGGGCACCTAGTCTCAGTATCTACGTTAGCAATGACAATGAAAAATTAAATTTTCATCCAAGTTGCTTAAAAATGGGCTTAAATGAAAATAGATTCTAATAACTATGGTTTTTAAATTTTAAAAATCCATTGATAAATAAAAGTTTTTTTATTTTTGTTTGCAAAATGTCGGAGGACCTTCATATAGGAAAAAATCGCCAAAATGTGGGACATGTTTTGATGTATTTTGAGGAAAAACTGTTCATAAGTCAGTAATGAATTGGAGCATATGAATGAAACTTGGCATCTCAATGTGATTTTTAGTGCAGAATCTAGTTCTGCCATCACTTTTTCGATGTCTTTATTACTTTGGATCTTAAAGACTGATATTTGCGTGAAATTTGTTGAAATGCGTGACATCGTTTTTACCGCGACGCGATCACCCCTTCTAAACTTAGTAAAGCGCTATCGGGAAAACCCGCGATGTAGTCATCGGTGACCTATTTGGTTATAGGCAGCCAATCACAAGCCGCCTAGCGATCACGCGCCTCTTGCATGCCGGCACCTCGCGTTTGGAATGCGTGATCTAGTTTCCAGATCTAGTGTTTTATCAATGGATGGGTGGTAATTTTAAGTTGGTACGGAAAATCTACTAAACGCAGAGATCTGAAATTTTACAGCAATAAAGAAGACATGTGGGGCGCTTGTGTGGTCGGCGATCAACCCGCAGCTCCGCTTAGTTTTCAAACCGCAAAGGAAATTCGCACAAACATGGCAATATCTCCGGTTCAAGTAATCGTTTGGGACTGTACGCTGGCATGTCGTTAGTTTAACCTTTCCTCTGGTTGGTTGCCGAGTTTCATTTATTTTCGTCCAGGAGTTTTCCCGTAACTATACTTAGAAGAGTCACCTCTGATTGCAAGCGGCCCAAAAATTACCCCTCGCGCAGAGGCCGATTTCCGGCCCAAGGCGCAGCGGGCGATTGGCATTTCTAATCTACGTACACGGTAACCGGAATGAAAATAAATCAATATCTGTCCTGTGCTGTCACTTGCTGGAAAAAAAAAAAGAAAGTCATACAATATACAAGCGTCTTGTAGGGCTCGCCATCATGACCGGTCAGTGAACCTGTGCGGGCGTATCACACTGAGTACCGGTTGGGGCCACCAAAGTTCATTCAATGTTTGTGCGCTGCGAAGTATAGGGCTCCGGAATGGGATTATTGATTTTTTTAAAGGTACAGCCGGGGGAGGGGTGGGGATGAAGGCAACACTGGATGACAAAAACTGAACTTGACAGTTCTGGACTGCCCGGTTACCGTGTACGTGATAGAGAGACTACGTGCCCGGTTGCCGGTTACCGTGTACGTAGATATTGAGGCTACATGCCCGGTTACCGTGTACGTGACACTGAGACTACGAGCCCGGTTGCCGGTTACTGAGTACGTAGACACTGAGGCTAAGTGCCCGGTAACCGAGTACGTAGACACTCCGTTCGGATATTGGCCTATACTATTTTCCTTAAAAAACCCAGAATGTGCGTAACTACTTATATGGCCACCTCTATTCTCACCCCGGGTGAGAATATAGCGCACGCGAGCCTTTTGGCTACTCTCACCCGGTGTGCGTTCACCGTTATAGCCTAGGCCAACCAGTGTAGCCTTCACCGTGAACCACAGAATTCTACACTGCGATAACAGAATTGTAGAATTCTGTGCCGTGAACAAACGCTCCAGCGCTCTTATGTTACTAATGTTAGCCTAAAAAAAGTAGTTGCAAGGCGCTCTTGTGTTACTACTGTTAGCCTAAAAAAAAGTAGTTGCAATTTTGTCTGTCCAGGGGGGGGGGGGGGGGGGGGGGGGGGGGAGAGAGAGAGAGAGAGAGAGAGAGAGAGAGAGAGAGAGAGAGAGAGAGAGAGAGAGAGAGAGAGAGAGAGAGAGAGAGAACTTCTGGGCAAAACAAAATGGCGACCTGCATAATTCGGCTCAATTCGAAAAGTTAAATAGCCGTAGCATCTTTGTAGACAACCAAATTAATTGACTTTTGTGTTTTAACATCATTTTTAAACTTTGTTTTGGTCAAATTGATCGTCCACACCGATACAGTATTCAGAAATATGCCTGAGGGAATGAAAAACGCACATCGGAATTAAACGCGGGAATCTTAAGAATTGCCAAGAGGTAGCAATGCCCATCGGGCTTTCCCGCGAGGCGAAAATTTGGTCCCCGTTTACGGGCGATTTTGCGGACCCGGCCGAAGCGTAGGTGACTAACTTTGTCAACCTCGGTCTGCACTATTTCCGAACCAATCCGAATGAAACTCGGCAACCAATCAGAAAATAGGGCAAACTAATGATATGTGGACGTTGAAGTTCGTACACATAAATTAACCTATACTTTTGGTGTCGGGAACACTTTCGTATCGTGTACACTGAAAACTATAAGGAGTTTGAATTTCAACGCCGAGATGATAATAGATCTATCTATCCTCTATAGTGTGCTCAAATTTGAACGTTCTGTGTCAAGTAGTTGTTGCACGACTACCCCCCTATCCAAAGCGGCTTCGCACGGAGACCGGCCATTTTCCCCTTACTCTCGTGGCAAACGTATGTGACCTACAAATCCCCGCATGACTATTCCGGGCCCATTCATTGGTCACTTGAAATAGGGCAATGGCGGGCACGCGCATCCGGTTGCTTTTCTCTCTATTCCCCTGTAACACAGCAATGGGGGTTTTCCGAGGCGAGGTTATCTCGTCTCGGGGTGTTCGCGTCTCAACGGGGAAAAGGAATTTTTAATTGTACGGCATGCTAGATTGAATTTACTTATCTTTTACGGTTGGCATGGTCTAAAGTCATCATAAAAAGCTTTGCAATTATTTAGTCACGCTGCCGACATATATTCTTAAAGATCCCATGTTGTGATACGATGCTATAAATAAAATGGACTCATCCCGACACCCCTTTTTCGCAAAATCGTAATATGTACACCACAATTTTAATTATAACAAAATAAGTACGAAATTGGTAGTAAATCTGACTGCAGAAATGATTTCTACACTCAAAAACACATCAGGTAGTCAAGTTTCTCTCGAACACTCCGATTAGTTACCGAGATATTGTCTATTTTCTTACAGAATCTGCTACTGCGTGGTCCACTTTTTAGGAGTATTTTCCTATATTATGTGGGGTCATCCATTTTTGCCGACCTTTACAACCCCATAACTTTTTTTACTTATGAACCGATTCTCAAAATTCAAGAAGCATAATTCTTAGAATTGAAAATTCTTTCTTAGGTCTTAGGTACCAAAAAAAAAAGCGCAAAAGTGAAAATTTAAATTTTCATTGGCATTGCTACAAGAGGCCTAGATTCTAGTCTATTCTAGATCTAACCCTAACCCAAACCCTAGATCTACCCCTACCCTTAAATTCTGCTCTGTCTCATAGTGGTCGCTCAATACGGAAGTCCTCCCGGCGGCTGGTTTGACCTCAATTGATTGACTCGATTACAGCAGTAGAGAAAGAGAAAAGAAAAGCCAAACTTTTCCTTGCCAGCAGAGTTGAGAAACCAGCAGAAGATAAAAGCAATTTTCAGCAGTAATAAATCCAACATGGTGGACCTTATGATATCCTCTCCCAAGTCTGTGTACTGTTTATGAACCAATAGATCTAGTACTTTCCCTTGGACCTTGCCAGCCAACAGCCCGCCCACCACATATTCCCGCCGGGGCGTTAGCCAGCTAGATAACTTTCTAAGTCTAAGACAAGAGTTGAGTAGAGAAGCCGAGGAAGAGGAACAGATGGAGACCGAGAATGAAAAGCAGAAGTTACTTTACACGAATAGAATCTAGATTATCTAGATCTAACCTAAAAATGTCTATCAGGACAAAAATATATTGAAATATAAACCGAAAAGCAAGCAACTAAAGGCACAAACAAAAGTATACCATTTTAGCAAGTTGTCTGGACCTTCCGTCACCACGCCGTTCGGTAAAAAGGAAGAGGAAGTCGATGCTGACAAGGAAATCGGTGGCGTGGAGGGTTGCCAATATGGCGTGGTGAATTGCCAGGACTCTGTAAATGAGCACGACTAAATTAGCGAAATGGCCATAGAGCTGTCGAGAGCAGACTTGAGTTTATCACAGAGTGACTGTCTCATACAATGTTCTTTGTGATAATTATCATGAGTTGGCCTAGATTAATTCTTCTGTGTGTTGGAGATGGGGGTACAACCGGAAGAACTATTCTCCTTTACAATTATGTTAAAAACTGTTCCGCCTTTGATTTGATCATTTAATATCGAGAGGAGGGAAAAGGGCTGTTTGCAATGGGCAGGCTATGGGGGTCGAGCAAGGACCTTACAACTTACTGTATAACTTCCTTGGGGTCGAGATAATGAGGCAAAGCGGATCTGAGAGAAAAGCCCAAGAGAACAGAATACATAAAACTGAAAAAAACGAAGAACTATAGCTGCTTGTTAATGCTTAATAAAAATGCAGCCTGTCTCTTTGTCTCTTTGTACATTTGTACACTTTTTCTTTTTTTTCTTTTTTTTTGTTTGTAATGTTTTACAGCACTCCCAGCTGCATAAGATAATGATAATAATATGAGCGCACAGGACACATTTAACTTTTTCAGTTGGTGGTGGCAAGAAATTTTGAATGTTGTCAGCGTGGCGACCGAAGCCTGCTCTTAATAAACTCTTATCAATTTTAGACCGCCAGGGGATCTTTAACGTGCGTAACTTGCACACGGGCCCTCTGAGATTTTTCGCCCTTGTCCGAGAAGGCTGGGTGTAGATCTTTCCTACCAGAAGATCAGGGGTGTGGCTGAAAGACAACAGTAAGAAGGGGCCAAGGAGTAGCAGTAGAAAGGCTGCACATAGAGTCAGGAGCCGAGAGGAGAGGGCAAAGGAGGTGAGGGTGGCAGAAAGAGGAGACAAAAGCAGACGACAGAACATTGCTAGGGAGCAGCAAAGTAGGTGAAAGTAGACAATTCCACACAAAGTGTCAGTTATTATTTCTGGTTGCTCGATCTTAGTTTGTTGTTATATGAACCACAGAAATTGCGCTGTTCTTTTTTGTATTCATAACCTTTGGATCAAACCTTAAGTACCGTATTGCCCTCCAATCAAAAGGGATGCACTCGAATCTGCACTTATCACCATTACACATAGGACTTGAAGAAGTCTATGATTGTTAGTTCAAGGGAGAAATTCTAAAATAATATTGCAAAACAAGAAGAAAATATTAATATATGGATATATTCTAGTTAATGATTTTTTTTTAAAGTCATGTTATAGCTATATTTCGGTATGTAGCCTATTTAGAAAAAAAAAGTACCCTATAGGAAAAACGTAAAGCTACTTCAAAGAACTAAACACCAAAATACATGTGTGGGGAAGCGGAAAACCATATTAAAAAGTGAAAGTAATTGTACTGGCGATTTTTTTTTAATGTACCACTTTTTGATTGTGTATAAAATCTAACATAATTTAAAGCACCTCAGACACCAGATGGCTACCATGAGCTGTCCCGCTAAGAACAAGTGATTATCTTCAGACTAAGGACACAACACACAAGACTGAGACAACATATGTACAAATGTTTTAAACTAGTACAATCACCAAAATGCCAGTGTGGAGAGGCGGACCAAACTGTTGAACACATCCTTCAGCACGGAAAGACACACAGGGCCCTGAGACAGGAAACGTGGCCAACCCCACTGACGCTGCAAGAGAAGCTATACGGGCCGACTGATGAACTGAGCAGGACGGCCCAATTTATGACAGATACCAGACTTGAAGTGTGATGCGATCGAGAAGAAGAAGAAGAAGAAGATCTAACATTTTGATGCTTCACAATGTTCACACCATCAATGTGAACCCCCCCCCCCCCCCCCCTTTCCTGAAAATTTGGATTCTGTCCCTCGACCGAGAGGCGGATTTTTTTAATATTTTGATTTTTATTAAATGTTTACATAAAACTGCATCAACATCATTGTCACCCATAAGTGACGGTATCTTAAAAATCAAGCCATCGGCATGCTCAGCGCGCTGCTGGGAGGACATTCAACGCCAGCAGAAGGACTATCAGCCAACTGAGAAAACGGTAGGGCCTACATTGTGACTTGGCCTATTCAAAACCGACCCAGAACTGGCCGTCACATTATGGTAACAATGCCATTTTATTATTAGGACTGTGCACATGAGATATCGTTTTAGGACAAAGCTCAAACTGCAAGACAATTGCTTGGACTTTTACTCGCCATAACCGGCATAACTGCAGTGGCGGGGCGTACGACGTAGTAAAGGGCTAAAGGGCATGAGTCCCACCCACTCCCACCCCTACCCTCCTACTCTTTCATTCCGTAAAAGAATGTTTTTTCTCATAAACGAGATAATCCGCTGAAACCGTTAGAACGGTTTCAGAATCTTCCGCCTCCACCTTTAGTTGCATGTGGGGAACACACACACTGCAATGAATGTACGGCCTGCCATTTCACCAGGCTGTAACCAAATTGAGAACCTGTGGGAAAGGAGTGTTGCTCGTGACTTGAATCCCGGTCCTAGACCATTTTCTGCAGCAAGTCCACACCAATGCCTGAAACAACGTTTTTCAGAAAGACGTCTGTACACTATGTGCGTGCAGGAGATGCACTGATGTATTGATGAATGCACTTGAAGATCACATGGCTGATGTGTGACTTTTGGATTTTACCCCATTATCAAATTTCTCTCTCTCTCTCTCTCTCTCTCTCTCTCTCTCTCTCTCTCTCTCTCTCCTGCTATTGTAGCGTTCCCTGGTTAATACTAATTGACACTATCTTTTGATTTCTAATAATGCATACTCCTAAAGATCCTATCATCAATACTATCTCATCAATACGATCAATAATATGTGATTGTCAATGTCTAAGCCTAGATCTAGATTTAGTAGATCGTGAGCCTATGCACCCGGTGCCCGGTACCAGATTTATCCTCTGATCTTATCACTCGTTACCGAAGTGAGACTATTTTAAAATCTAATGTTTTTCTTTTTAAATAATTTAGATCTAGATAAATTATTGAAATATGTTGATCAATACTAATTAAGTTTGGTAGATAGATCTATATATTTAAATCGATCTAAGATCTAGATTCTAGATTAGAATGGGCCCTAGAGTAGGATTAACTAGGACCACATAATTCTACACTTAGTGTAGAATTCTGTTACTAGGACGCTCTCATATCCTGCTCTACCCAGCAAGCCCAGGGCCAAGCCAACGGGGGCTCAATCACACGGTCGCTGGGGGCGTGGCCTATTTTACGTGTGCTACGTTTTTTTAACAAAGGGAAAGAGGCAGCTGCAGCATCTTATCGTAGTGTGTAGTATCTTTGGTTCGGGTTCGTTCAGTGTGGAGTTTTAGGTTTTTAAAAATTTTATTGACCTCTCGCCTTTCATTCTAAAGTCAAATTAAACGAAGAAAACAATAACCCTTTCCCCTGGAAGAGTTTTTTTTTGTTGTCAGCGTAACCATTTTAAAAAAGCGTTCTTCCGAAATTTATTAAAAACTTGCTAGTCTCACTTTGATTTTTTAAACTCAAGTAGCGTTACTCTGTTCGCCGAGGGTGCGCATTTGTGAAGACGGCGCTACTGAATTTTGAGGACACTTTTTAAAATTTGCTCAAAGAGAGAAGTGGCCCCTATTGTTATGTAGACTCTTTGCCACGGGGCGCTTTAAATCAATTATTTTTGCATTAAAGATCGTACATAATATTCGATATTCGACAAGGATCGAGCATATAAAAATAGACTCCGAGACTCAATACCAAAGACAAATAAGTAGATTGTTGTAGCCTTAAGCCCCATTTAGACGTACAGTTCGCTGATCGACAAACTGTAGGATATCGAGAGGGTGGCCGGCATCCTGTCAATTTCAGGTGGAAACTGAGCAATTTTTTCGATATCGAAGGGCTTTCCGTCCAACCACCAGATATCTGGCGACGCCAGATATTTGCCGGCCGGCGAACCGAAGGAGTGACGACGAGGGAGCGGCTTCTTTGATGTTACCCTAGGCGTAGTTGAAAATACATTAAAAAAATTTCCTAAATATTCGTCAAATCAAAAAAATAATATGATTTTCGTGATCAGCGACCCAAAATTGGTAAAATTCACGCGGGGAACGCAATTTAATACCGGATTACCAAGTTAAATTATGTTTGTGTGTTTGCTTTTGAATTACCATTCGCCCGCCCCTTCACTTTCAAAAGTGAAGGCAAAAAAATGTACCGCGTGGTGTGTGTGTAGTATACTGCCGAGATGTGCTGGAGTCAGCTGAGGGCTTTCACCTAGATCTAGCTAGACGGTGCTGTTTATTTTAATTTTTTGTTGTTGTCTACGCGCTACCAGTTTTACTATTGCACTAATGTCCGTGTGGAATAACAAGGAAACTGGGCGCTTTTTCGGTAGTTCCCACCCCGCTTAATTGGACCTATCTAGATCTAGATCTAGAAATATAGATCTAGATCTAGATCCAGATCCAGATCAGAGAGGGTGATCCAGATCTAGATTTAGAACAGAAAGCTATGTTTGATGCGCAGCGAGCGAGAGATATCAGGGTAAAATGCCCCCCCCCCCTTTTGAACCCCCCTCCACATTCTTATTAGATTTCTAGCTGTCCCCCTGAAACACTCTTGGGACCAAAACCGGCGAATAGTAATTGGAAGGGGGGGGGGGGGGGGGGGCTACTGAAAAAGTAAACTATTCTACAGTTCATCGAACGAACATTATCGAACGTTGCCAGTATTGTGGAAATAGAATATTTGTGTGTGTAGATACTTCTTTCTAATAGCCATTCTTTAGCCCAGATGGTCCTGTTTCTAGATTTGTTTTTGGATTTGAGAACAAAAAATGCTGCCAAATCATCCATGTAGCTTGCTTCTGCTATTGTTGACGTTTTTTTACCTAGATCTAGATCTAGCTACAACAGTCCAAGGACGGATAAAAAACTGTACGTCTAAACGGAACTTCTCTCGTCGACAAACTTTCAGTTTACCGATGACACAGATCGAGCGTCCGTCGGTTAAACTGTCAGTTTGTCGATCAGCGAACTGTACGTCTAAAGGGGATTTAAGCCTACCACAAGCCACAAAGATATTTGATTGTTCATAACCTTGAGACAAACAAAGATCATGTTTTGACCCTTCTCGATCTTTGAGACAAAACAGCAATAAATTCAATCCAATTAAACTATTATTTACGAAAATAAAGCAAAATCTTCTCTCTCTTTTTCTTTTGCACCCTCTCTGTCCCTCTTTCTCTTTTTCTTTCCCCCCCCCCCCCCTCTCCCACACTTATCCGTTTTTGCCTTTATTTCGCTGCGGCTGTTACTTAGGCCAACAGTGGATTACACTCACGATCTTGCTTTTCCACTAATTTTTGACATTTTTGTTTGTTGTGTAGGACCACCTCTTTGTACCAGGAAATCCTTTACTTAGATTCAGTAGGACTATTCCCTTTTCATTAGCTCATCATTATTAGGCCCCTAAAATAATAATTAGAGTAGGCTCTTGGCAACCCAGGCCTTGACCGAGACCGGATCTTTGATAGATGCATAGATGTAATCGCACAGAAGTCGATTTCGGGTATTGAGTTAAAAAACTAGGCCTACTCAAAGATAGTACGTTATGTAGACTCTTTGATAGTACATAACAAGATGGTTCACTCAGCCAAAAAAAGTGTCTGCCGGAAGTCCGCTCTTTGCTTCAGATGGCGCTGTAGTCTGTTTAGAAGCTCTCTTTCGTTTCTCCAGAAGTAGAATAGGAATAGCACCTCCCAATGATAGTACATCATTGCACCTCCTTGCGTGCGCAGATCCAGGCAGATCGACTACTGCTGTTCATCAGCAGTTCGGGTTCGTCCAGTGTGGAGTTTTAGTTTTTTTCTAATTTAATGACCTCTCGCCTTTCATTCTAAAGTCAAATTAAACTTTAAAAAACCAGTTGTCTGCGTAACCATTAAAAAAAAGCGTTCTTCCGAAATTTGATTTCTTGTTTATTAAAAAACTTGTTAGTTTCACTTTGATTTTTTAAAACACAAATGATAATTTTAAATGACAATACAACAGCAAAATCCACATTAAATATCAGAGTAATTATTTTATATTATAATTTTATACACTTCTCTAAGGCTTAAGTTAATATTATATTTTACACCTGAAAGTAAGTCAATTTCTACTATATAATATTAAGGAGTATAGATCTAGATCTTGAATGACTCCCAAACCAACAAGATCCCAAAAGATAACAAAAACTCATTTGTTTTATTAAGGATACAGAATGGTAATAGTAATAGCTGTATTTATTATTTCTTATTTAATCTTGATAATCAAAAACTATTAAAGCTAGATCTAGATCTAGAGAAAGAACGAAGTCCTCTCACCTTCAAAAATAGCTCAACAAATTCGTCCATCAATCACATATTTTAAATTGAGAATGTATAGAATTATAATCTAATGCTAAAAAATAAAAAGATGAACAATAGCTAAGAAGTTAGAGAACAAGTTGGGACAATACAAGGCGATTAAAAGTAATGGAGGATGCTCTGTAGGCGGCACCGCACGCCTGATAGGAGCCCTCTCTCGCAGCGGAACTGTGGTCTACCTGCGCTGCGCTCACGCAATGAAATCTAGATAAGAAAGAAAGTTTTATTCCGAGATTAGGCAAGTCAATTTAAAAAATGCCTTCCACCTGCGTTGTGTTTAAGTATAAGAACCGATATGATGCTGCAGTGGACAGAAGTTTTCACAGCTGTTGTTTTCCTTTTTAAAAAATCTGAATGAAAGTGTTTTTATGCCCCCAGCGACACAATTTAGATCATTAACTTTAATAAGGGGCTGGCTGCGGCGCTACCTGCCAAGGCCAACCCGGGTAGAAAGGGGTACACTGTAACAACACCCCAGAAGAAAGACCAAGATACTTGATTTTAAAAAAAATTCTTATTCTAGTGTGTGTGTGTTAGTGTGTGTGTTTGTTTGTGTGTGAGTGTGTGTATGTGTGTGTGTGTGTGTGTGTGTGTGTGTGTGTGTGTGTGTGTGTGTGTGTGTGTGTGTGTTTGTGTGCGTGTGTGTGTTTGTATACATATTAAACATTTTAATCAAAGTATAATATATTGCTTTCCAATGTGGGTGTAAATTAGATGCTATGCGCAGCGTACCTTTATTTTGACGGGACAAAATCTAGAGTCTAGGTTTCTACATGTATCTTGTTTTCATATATTTACTAATCATACAACACACCTTAACGTGTTGAGTTCAATCAGTCAGTCAGACTTGTTTTATGTTTTTAAGCCCATTCATTTCCTAATTACTATAAGACTGCTGTTGTCTAAATGTAGATATCGAGAGGCTCCATTAAAATATGAAATCAATACCCAACAACAATAGTGATGAATATCTTCTATGTTAAAGAAACACCAAACCATATCAGATGAGGGGAGGATGTAGGGTGTGGATAAGAGTTTGAGTCTTGTTTGATAGAACTATACTCGGTTTGGATCTATATCTATTGTTGTAGTCTTCACCTAAGATCCTACAATTTATAATTCCGGTCTACTTAAGATTTTGCTGTTCAAAAATAAACCAAACAAAGCAACAATACATTTTATTGCACTAGTTGTGATAAATTATCCCCTTCTGAAGTGTGAAGGGACTAAAAACGCTGCTTTCCCTATCGTACTTTACTGAACAAAAAAAATTCAAGGGTCATCCATGCTCATGCATGGGATCACATCTCCGCTCTAAATCTCGATGCGAGGTACACGTTTGCTCCAGACGCAAGGATTTTACGATAAAGGAATCACGCCCAGGTGTGAACTCTTCATCGACGCCTTTGATTTTGCCGAACATCGAACTCGCAATAAGAGCTCCTGTCTAGAATCATGCCGTCATATCTTAAATTCAGTTTTTAAAAAATACATTTTTCATAATTTTTATTATAATTAAATCTTTTAGCTTCATGAAAGATTATGTTTGATAATTTTATGATACTTGATAATTTTATGATACTTGCATAAGTTTTTTTATTTTGCCGATCTTCTTGATTTTTAAACTATATACAACGTAAAACTCTTAAATAATTAAACAGTCCCTAGGCTTTCTCAGTTGCCTAGAACTGTTCGTATCACACACAGAATTTAATTTTTTTTCTCCTTTTCATTCTTTCCGTCATCCCGTCTGTTGATCACAATCTCTCTCTCTCTCTCTCTCTCTCTCTCTCTCTCTCTCTCTCTCTCTCCCTGCCTGCCTGCCTGTCTGTCTGTCTGTCTGTCTCTCTCTCTTTTATTCAATTTTTCCCATTCTCCTTCGTCCCTTCCCAAGGCCCGCCCCTCCTCTTTAATCCCAGCCCCATCCCCTCTTCCTTGCGTGCATTCCCCCACCCGCCCACCCCCACAACGTGGCCCAGCCCGATAAGATTCTATAAAAAGAAACGCCACAGTTCGTGATTTAGCCCACACTCGGCGGCCATATTTGATCCCCACCGCGGCGTACTGCTCGTGGCGCCGCGAAGAGAGAGAGGAGGCTCCATTAGTTCTAAACTCCTTGGGACAATACCATGTATGAAATACTTTGAAAAACAATGCATTAAATGGCCCATGTGGGCCAATAAGCCCCAGCTTATTCGCCCATGTGGGCCAATAAGAGCAGCCCCTTTTTTAATTGGCTCAAAGAGAGGAGTGGACCCTCTTGTTATGTAGACTCTTTGGCCTACTCTACACCACATTTGAGGAACACGTTTTAATAATTTACGCTTTGCCACTTTGGCTCTTGTGCTTTTCTTAACCGTCACTGGAAAAAGATTGCTGCATGCCACTAGGTCCTATTGCGTCCACGTGTTTTTTTTGTTGCAACAAGTAATTACCCATATCGGGATACTAATCTTCTTAGATTATTAGAGATTGCATACATGGCTGGAAAAACCCTAATCGTTAACGCTGGTCAACGCTTCTATAATATTAGTAATGCATTGCCTTTTCTGCGAGCACATTTATAATGAGATTGTTCATATTTTTCCTTTCCATACGTGGGACTCGGTTAAACAGTCTTTCTCTACCATGCTTTAAAAGTTATAAAGTTAAACAAATACGTTCACGTGTGGATACATTAGAAAATGTACTTGGACAAAGTATTCTGTTGCTCACTGTTATTTTTAGCCTCTGTATAAAACATTAAACATTATCAAAACATTATCAAACATTATCATTTGACCTTATTTCTGTAACTGAAGATCGAAATTCAGTACGTTGTATCATTAGGCATCAGTATACTGTTGAAGGAATTAAGACAATTGAAAACCATTGAACAATATTAGGACTCCAGAGATAAGCTGTATGGTGATATCGATATAGTGATGGGCTCCTCACTTCTCTTATTTCAAGTGCATTTAATTATATATATCATAACTACGACAGGGGAGAGGCCAATGCCTTTGGAACTCTTTATAAAGAAACATATTGATTGTTTAACATTACAATCACAACTTTACCTTTGATTGTGTGCATGTCCAAAATACACGTAACATGTACATGACTGTGTACAATCTAGATTTTGCATTCTAAAGTTACTATGAAGAACAGGCCTAGAAATGGTCACAGTGAAGGTATGTATGTGATCTGAAACCTTGAAAAACTCTGGCAACCAGCGAGTCAAGGGGAAACTGTGTCATGACTGTGAATTGTGAATGCAAGCAAGGCCCAGATAGGGCTATGCTAATGCGGTAGACAAAATGGCGACGGCGGAAAAGAAAAAGCTGACAGATCTTCGTGTAATTGACCTTAAATGTGAACTTGAGAAAAGAAATCTCGATAAAACAGGTGTGAAATCAGTTCTGATTGAACGACTTCAAAAGGTAAGTTGATAGACAAGCGGATTCACTGTGTCTGTCTCTGATAAAGAATAGGCTAGATTCTAGATCTAATCTAGTCTAGCTGAAGACTGACGAATAAGATACTGGACAAGGCACAAAGGGGACAGTGAGTTGGGAGTAGGGGCGGACACGAGAGAAGCCGAGTACTCGTTTCTCGCGAGAAACGCCCTTCCCGTCGCTTCCCGAGGTAAGATTGAAAAATACCGGACCAGCGGACTGACTTGTGCCTATGATTTAACCTTGGCCACCTCTATTCTCACCCGGAGTCGCGGAGTGAGAATAGTGCAGGCGAGTCTTGTGGCTATTCTCACCCGGTGCGCGTTCACCAAATTTTGCGTTCACCCTAAACCACAGAATTCTACACTGTGATAACAGAAAAATTGTAGAATTCTGTGCCGTGAACAAACGTTCCATTACAACTGTAGCCTACTAAAAGCGTACAATTTTGTCTGTGGGCAGGAGAGAGAGAGAGGAATAGCGCGAGAATTTCCGGGCAAAACAAAATGGCGACCCGCGTAGTTCGGCTCGATTCGAAAAGTTAAATAGCCGTAGCATCTTTGTAGACAACCAAATTAATTTACTTTTGTGTTTTAACATCATTTTTTAACTTTGTTTTGGTCAATTTGATCGTCCACACCGATAAGACTAGACAGTATTCAGAAAGAGACAGAGTCAGAGAGAGAGAGAAGAGGGGAGAAGTTGATCTTGCGAGAACTTCCGGGCGGGTGAGAATAGCCACTTTCTTTAACTCTTATCCTGCGTCTGTGCCCAGATGCGTATCTTATCAGCAACCGATTACGTCGGACTCGCCGGGCAGGCCGCCGGGGTCACTCAGTGTGTACTGTTGGTGTACAGCGCGCGCGCCGGGAAACGTGTGTTTTCGCCATGAATACCGCGGGAGTGTGTTAACTGATGATGAAAATAACGCTCTATCCTTCATAGTATTCTATTTATAAAGTATTACAAACGCATGAATAACCCCCTCTCACAAGCTGATAAGACATTACGAGTAGTTACGCCCATTTGAATAACCTTTCTGGACGCTCTTGTTGTTATGAATGACCTGAGGTTCGAAAAGGGATAATTTAGGTCAATTTCCGAATGTTTTACACTCAAATTGTTCTTTGTACCTGCACAAGGGTATTCAAAACTATTAAACAAGCTCATCTTTTATCAGGTAGTATCATTTCATACAAAATCAAGCTCATTTGAAATATTTTGTATAGAAAAATGGAAGTCTTGTTTCCTGACTATCCTTTCGAGCTCCTCATGTCTAAGTGGGTCAATTTCTTCTATAATTTCATTGGACGAACATCTAGAGCTATCAACTTGGCATGTTTTGAATGAGACGTATGCCTCGATTACGAACCAACGCAGGTGGTTCTAGAAGAAGGCCACAAACGCACACAAACTCAAGCAGACTGACGCACACACACCTGACCTGCGTGAATGGGGATCCGACTCGGGACCCGAATGACACGTAAGAGGATGCGCGCTGCGCGTGCGCTGAGCCAGGAGCTACACTGACTCGGGACCAGAACGCAGGCGAGGTGCCGAAATAGGCTTATCGGGCTACATAAACCCGACTCCCGCAGGATGAGGGTTAACCTTAGGAATTCATGATCTTCCCCAGTTTTTATCTCTCAATGGAGAATCTCGGACCCGTAGATCTATTCATAAACTTTTGTCAGGGGGGAGACCCCCCTGCAGAGATGCCAACCAGTACGATTTTACGTATTTTAGTACGATTTTTTGCAGAAAATAGGCGAATACGACTTTTCGTGAAAAAATACGCATCCTGGAATGCGAAAAATACGAGATTCAGCTTGGTGAGTAAACCTATCTCAACAAGTCCCATCTTTTGTCAAAATAGAGCAGTATCGCAGAACTGGAATATTTGAAAACCAAGTCCGATGTGGTTAGGAAGTTTATTTTTGCCGGTCGCAATCGTGATATTATATTCGTTCAGATTCTCCCGGTCCGGAGAGTACGTTTCACTTTCAAGCGAATAGGCAGCTATGGCGGCAGGCGGAAGCGTATGTGACACCGAGGCTCGATCGTGAAAATCAAGATTTACTAACCGTTTCGTACTTATTTTGTTATAATTAAAATTTTGGTGTACATATTACGGCGGATTTCACGGTGAGGACCCACAGGTTTCCCACTTTCCCAATTTTTTTCAGGATTTTGAACTTTTTCAAAAGGTTATGTATTTTGTATCAATGGAAAGGTCTTTCAAAGAGGAATTTTAAAAAGTTAGTTAGAGAGACAGCAAATGCTTGTGAAAAAAGTTATTTAATAAAATGTAACCTTACCTTGGTGCAAACAATACAATCCATGAATTGAATATCACCAAATTCTGTATAATAATCCATTTAATTGAATTCACTGTCCACAAAAATCATTATGTACACAACATATAAAAAAATAATAAAAATTAAAATGAACAATAAAAAGGGAATAATTAACCGATTCCGTCCATGATTTTTTCAGGCTCTGGACAGAATTATTTTTCCTTGTTCAGTTTTAGACCTGGGGTGCATCTATTTAATGCATTACTGTGAAGCTCTAAGTTACTCTAATAGGTATTGTCATATACCAAAGTGATGGGGATCAATAGAGGAATCTGTTTATATCAATAACAATGACCTATAATCTTTTTGTATGGTATTTTCTGTCAGACAAAAACGAATGAGGAAAAAAAAATTGCGCAACAGCAACACCTCTTACTGCATTTTCTCAGCTCTACAAGTCCTTATAATCCATAGGAATCAACACAAAGTTGTAGCAATATCACCCTAGCACACATTTATGCAAAAATTTCACAAATTTAGTTAAATATCTTTCTTTGAAGGGCCTTTTTCTTATACCAGGCTCCGTGTTATTTACCCTTAGATCTAGCCTACATAGCGACAACAGAACAACGATTTTTGCAAGAATTTCGCTGAGTTTCGATCAATATTGGCACTCGGAGATTGAGGTCAGGTTTGTTTACAAGTACTACCTCCTTTCGACAACTTAAAAAGTAGGAACTAAGTTAAAAAGTGCACATTTGTTTCGGATTTCGTTGAGCCGCTCACAGCGGTCGAATGGATGGTGCGGAAAATCTCAGGGCTGCTGTCAGCAGTCAAATGGACGGAATCAGTTAAAGGAAAAAGAAAAAAATATCAGTTGAAAAAATGGCTCACAACATTGGAACCGCCTGTAAGACTACGAAATCACCATCTGCAACCATCTGGACGGCTCAAAGCTTTGTCGGTATCACAAAGAGAACGCTATTTTTGTCCCTAACGTCATTTGTTTACTTCCTACACATGCTGCACGTTGTGTTGCAGTCTTTCAATCAATATAAACATAATAAATATGGCAGATAAGCGGGTTGGATTTGTAATGCGTTGCAACGTTGTGGGTTGGCACGTTGTAGTCTTACAAAGAAAAAACTTGGAAAACAAGACAAAACATCCACCTCATCGAAAAGGACGCTAAAGAATGAAAGAAGGGCCCCAAACGGAAGTAGTTTTTAGCCTCGGCTTGGCGGAAAGCCCTCGTGGTTTTCCGTAAATCTCCGAGAAATACTGGTCGCGCACGTGAGTTGTCGCACACTTACCTGGAGGGGTGCGTCACAAAATACTCTCGAATCTACTAATAATTTCTTCAATTTTCGCAAATTATGGCTAAAACCGATGTAGAAATGAGTATCACGTAGTCTGAGCATAAAAACTTCCATTCATTTTGCTTTTGGAAGTAAATTTAGCACTTCATGTTGAGTCAAAATATAAGACTTACACCCGCGATTTACAATCACCATTTCGCTCTGTCCGTTGCCGTTTCAAACTGGTGCTCCATTTCGTTTTTTTGACTCATCACATTAGAAAAACATACTACTTGGGTGTTCTAGCCATTTTGGGCGAAAATCTAGCATAATATGCCATTTAAAACAAAAATTGTCAGACTCGCGAACATCGGGAAACGCTGTTAAGTCTCAATACTCACGTCCGTGACCCTGTTACGCAACATTTCAAACGAAATAAACAAAGTCAACACTTGCTTTTTATTCACCTGTTTATTGGGCACATAAACAATCAAAACAACACAAATTGGACACAAAACTGTACAACAGGAGACTTTTGTTAAAAAAATAAACCCTGTGTTGTCTCTCACACCCTTACCGTGAAATCCGCCTTACGATTGTGCTAAAAGGGGTGTCGGGACGAGTCTATTTTATTTATAGCATCGTATCACAACGTGGGATCATTAAGAATATGTTGGCAGCGTGACTAAATAATGGCAAAGCTTTCTTTGATGACTCTAGACCATGCCAGCCTTAAAAGAAAAGTTAATTCTATCTAACATGCCGTAAAATTAAAGATTCTTTTTCCCTGTTGATACGCAAACACCCCGAGACGAGATAACATCGCCTCGGAATACCCCCATTGCGATGTTACAAGGGAACAGAGAGGAAAGCAACCGGATGCGTGCGCCCACCATTGCCCTGTTTCAAGTGACCAATGAACGGGCGCGGAATAGTCATTTGGGGATTTGTTGGTCACATACATTTGCCGCGAGAGTGAGGGGAAAATGGCCGGTCTCCGTGCGAAGCCGCTTTGGGTAGGGGGGGTAGTTGGGCATTTATGATCAGTTCTATACAAATACTCGACACAGAACGTTCAAAATTTAGCACACTATAGAGGATAGATCTATCACCATCTCGTGTTGAAATTCAAGCTCCTTATAGTTTTCAGTACACCCGATACGAAAGTGTTCCCGACACCAAACATATTGGTTAATTTATGTGTATGAACTTCAACGTCCACATATCATTAGTTTTTCCCTATTTTCTGATTGGTTGCCGAGTTTATTCACATTGGTCCAGAAATAGAGCAGACTGAGGTTGGGAAAGTTGGTCACCTACGCTACGTCCCTGTCCAAAAATTCACCCGCAAACGGGGACCAAATTTTCGCAGCGCGGGAAAGCCTGATTGGCATTGCTACCTTATTGTGTTGCGAGTGCAATAAGACACTTACTAAGAAGAAAAAAAATCAATTTTTGTAGCATCCAACAGAACTTCTTGGTATGTTGACACATATCCAGAGGCTATGATTCTTGATTTTGACCCTGTTACGTGTTGTATTGTGACGTTTTATGTGATAAATGTTTGTTTTATAGTTTGTTTCTCTTTGTCTCATTTATCAATAGGCAATTGAAACTGAAGGTAAAGATCCTAACAGCTTTGAGTTTGAAGTCATAGAAACTCCTAAGAAGCCTGCTAGTGCTGGGAAGTCGAAAATGGAAGGTAAGAACTGCAATAATTAATGACTAATGTTTTTTTTTTTACTAAGTTTGGTCTCTGTCTTTTCAGTAGTTTCTTTTCTAATTCAGAATCTATACTATTGTAGGGGGGGGGTTAAAAAAAATGTCTATTTAGAATTTAAGCTAATGATTATGTTTTAGATAAAGAAATGCTTTAAACCATTATGTTTTTTAGTTGTAACTTTGTTTTATGCACGAGCCTGTTAACATTTGTGTAGAAAAATAGGTTTCTGAAAAAATTTTTGCAAGATAATTAATTTATAGTTCTTAAGTATCCATTATAATTTAATTTTAAAAAATGGAGTGAAATTTTTCATTAGTACATGTTGGTTTCACACTGATCCATGTCAGCTTCTCTTCCCTCGCATCCAGCTGCTTTTCCCCTCAAGGAGAGATTCTTTTAAATTATATTATTTCTTGTTCAATTATTTATTATAGCTTGCTGTCTCTTCTGTCGGGGGGGCTCTGAGCCCCACCATGTCTATTTTCTCTTTTCTTCCCTTCACGTCAGCTATATGATATTCTTCTTCATTTTCACGTTGTTGCCGATTGACCATGTTCCCACAGATTTGATAACACAGTTCAGGTGATTATTACATTTTGGGCTTCTGCCTCTAACATGGACTTTTTTTTTTTTTTTTTTTTTTACAGAAAACGGAGATAGTAATACTGAAAAGGTAAATATTTTTTATTTTAGTCTTGATTTTTCCAATTTGACGTTTACATTTTAAGTCTGGTTTTCTTTTCCCCCCGGATTCTGTTAAAAAAAAAAAAAAAAGAGTTTTTAATTTAGGAGTCTTACCAGCTCCAATGACTTTTTGGTACTTTAATTCAAAGGCTTGAAAATTAATTTGTATAGAAGTGCATATAAGGTTAGTGTGGTTGCATATCTGCTATTAACTTTGTTCATTAACTGATTCAGCCTTTAGTATTACATGTAATTCTGTAATTGCATGTGTATTTAGGCAGCTGATGAGGAGGAACTGCTGGCTATTGAGGCTGACCAGGTCAATAACGCTGGAGATGCTATGGAAGAAGGTTTACCTGTTCAGGACAAACCTTTGCCTCAGCCTGATGAGGTAGGACTGGCCATAGAGTCTTCATATCCTCAATTCTTATTAGAAATAATTTTGTTTTACCTTATTTTAATGATTGTAACAATGGTTTGTATTTCCTGATGTTCGAGAAGTCCTTGACAAACAACTACAATAAGAACATCTTAAGATATCTTTGCAATTAATGTCCAGCAAAGTAAAAGATGTACTTTTGAGCTGTTGTGATCATATTGAATACAAGTGCTTTCTTCTGTGTTTGCACCTTTTTCATCGGAATGTATGCTCTGCATTGAAAACTGACTAAAATTCTGTAATTGGAGTATTTTTTCATTGCCAATGGCATTACAGAATAGAAATGAAAGCAGTGTTGCTGAGCTTAGTAGGCAATAAAACGTATAATTCATAAGCGATTTGGCTGAATCAAAGAAATCAGGGGAGTATTTCTACAAAGAAGTTATTGAGGTTGTCAGAAACCACAATTCTAGGCCTTTGGTCATAGAACGTTTCAAATTCAATTCAAGAGTTGAGAATTCAGATGAATGTGTGGAAGAATGTGATACTAAATTGAAGAAGCTCTGTGAATTTTGTGATTATGGAGACAAACTTGATAAAATGCTGAGAGGTTGGTTGGTCAGTGGCGTTAATGACAGACTGATGCAGGAGACTCTTATCTGAAAAAGAGCTAACTTTTTTAGAAAGCATTAGAAATAGCACAGGCTATGGGAGCAGCTGCGAAGGGGGTCTCAGACATTGGTCCCAGCACAGGAGGAGAAGGGAATTATTCCAAGATGAGGAAAGAGAATCATAGTCAGAGAAGAAGACCAGAAATCGTAGTTCTGGAGAAAAGAAGAAATTGCCTAAATGTTCCAGAGGTGGTGGTCCTCACCACAATGATTGTGCAAATTTAAAGATGCTGTATATTTCAAGTGCCAGAAAAAGGACATAGTTCAAAGTGTAGAACTAGATCTCCACAATCTCTAAGAGACAGCACAGGTCGGGTCCAGTGAAATTTTTGGATGAGCTGAGAGATAGGCCTAGCTGTATTGATGAAGCCTATAAAAAAGTCTGTGTGCAAAAGGATAAATTGCCTCCTTTTGTCAAGTTGAGTGTAGACAATAAGGACTTGAGCTTTCAGATTGATGAAAGTGCAACCATGTCAGTAGTTAACCATGCTGTGTTTCGGCTGTATTGGCCTAATCAACTTTTGAAAAAGACAGGCATAACATTGAAAACTTACATCAAAACCTTGTATAGAATGTGGGCACAGCAATATACAAGAGTTTTTCCATCTTTGCCGTATTGAAGAACATGAAAGGTGTGTGTGTGGGTGGGGTGGTTTGGTGATGGGAATCTGAATATTAAAATGATCTATCTGCATTTTGTTCGACAGCTGAATGCAGAAGACAAGACTGGAACTATTGGTGGCCCTTCTGTTGGTCAGGAAGAAGGTATTTATTCTCCAAGCAACTTTCTGATTCTGTCTGTTTCAACTGACTAAAACTCTGCCATGTCATTCTCTGCAGTTCTTGTGTTTGTTGTCCTGTCTTCAAGCTTAACTGTGTCTAATATTTTTTTTCATAAGTAATACATTGAACACAAATTTAAGTTTCAGCGCATGCTGATTATCCTAGTTGAAAGTTGCTTTTAGATGCCTGTAAAGATTGACCAAGTTCCAGATGTTCTGAACAAATCAGCAAGGAAGAAATTTACTCTCCACAAGTCATTGCCCCCTGAGCTGTAAGGATGATTTGGCCTCCCGTCAAAACAAGATATAATCTTGATGTAACGAAAAGATGCTCTAGCGTTAAAAAGCAATGTTGTAACTTTTTTCCAACGATGCCGGAAACCCAGCAAGATGAAAGCCAGCCTAAGTATTGTTACTGATTATGATTGCTACTTTACTTGTGGAAGCGTCTGAGACTGGATTCATCATTGCTCAAGGCATGGAGCAGAACTCTTCTTCCAGCCAACACCAAGGGTGTAAGTATGCTCATTACTGCCTGGGGTCGACCACTGAAGTTGCTTCCACCCATCCCACAGATTGTTTGTTTACTTAATCTAATTTTTACAAATTTCTTTAGTGCCCCTCAATGATGAGAATGATGTCGAGGCTGCTGCAGAAGATGAAGCTGCTTTGATGGATGATGCTAATGTCCCAGATGAATTGATGGAGGTACCTGAGGAGTTTGAAGAAGGTGATGAGTTTGATGTAGAAGGCAACCCTGATGATGAAGCTCTAGATGAACAGCCAGATCTGTTGGAAGACCCTGTTCACAGCACCGAAGATAGTGGTGCTACAAACATTATCGCTGAGACTGTCGAACGTGAATTAGCAAAGGAGGAACCTCTCCTTGCAGTGGCAGAGCCTTCATCGACTGATCAGAAAGCGGACGATCCTGTATCAGCTGAAGCGGACTCTGGCAGTGCAGGCGAAAACAACTCCAGTTCTCTCAGTGCAAGTGTGGCTACACCTACACCAAAAACCCCTGCGTCTGCAGGTTCGGCTAATGTCCCGGCGGTTCCCTCTAAGGGAGAGAATGCATCCTCTGGACTTTATGAAGGTGGAGACGACTCGTTTGTAGTTCAAGTAGACGATACGGTGCTGAATGATATAGACTCTGATCTCCTAGACTCGACACAGTCTGGTGATGGGAAACCTGCGGAAGCTGCACCTGCAGACGGAGTGGTGAGCCAGGCAGAGGAAGTGAAGAAGGAAGAGCCTGCGGCAAGTAATGAGACATCTACCGCTGACCCAGAGGTGGCTGCTGCTAAGACGAGTGAGAAGACTGACCCAAAGGACACAGCCAGCAAGCAAGCAACTGCAAGTAAAGATGAAAAAGATGGGAAAACTGCAGTCAAGAGGTTTGTTTTAAGTCCTTTTGATAAATTTTGTAAAGTGTTATGTTCTCTGCTGTCTCTTGGAAGTAGGTGGCATTTCATTCTTCTTTGGAACGAGGGCGCTTCTAGTACTACCAGCTGTGTATGAACAGATTGAGATGTACAGTCACACAACTATATTCAGCGTTTCCAGTGAGAGGCAAACATCACAAAGATCTTTTATCATGTCTGATTACACACTCATTACAAATCTAGTTGTTGTTCTATTACTGAAGAATTTGTTTTAATATTTTTGTCTTCATGACTAGTGAAACACTTATGATGAAAAATAATTATTGCTAACTGTAATTGACCAAAATTATAAAGGTTTTTTAAATTTTTTTTTTAAAGCAGCTACATTTTATTATTTCCAATTCTAACTCTTCTAATTTATCTTTCAGCGGTCCTGCAAAACCAGTCAAGAAGGATGAGAAAAGTGAGTGAAGTTTAAAAAAAATTAATTTAGCCTACCCACCCCTGGCAGAGTTTTTTTTAGTGAACATGTTAGTCTGTGCAGGGCCACACGGTCCCCATCTACCTTAAAATAATGGTAGCATACATGTTGTGTTTTATTTTTTTTCTTTGCCATTTCTATGATCTAGTTGTTAAGCTTTATTTATTGAACATTGAGATTAAAATGGAAGAAAAGATATAATATTCAAGTTAAGTTTGACATAAGAGTATGCATCCAAATTTATCAAGTGCTCTGAAGAAATTGGAGCAAATATTCATGTGTATGATTGCCGCGGAATCTGTGTAAGTTCTGCTACTTAAAAAAAAAAAATGATGACCTGATTGGTTAAGTTATAGTGAAAACTTTTGAAGAGCTAAAGAATTCCCTCTCTTTCTCTCCTCTCCTTCCTTTCACCCACACATGGGACATTTTACTTTCAATTTTGATTGATATTTTGCTGTTTTCATTTTCATTGGGTTTTCCTTTTTCTTTTTTTTTTTAAACAGTTAGTTATATTCTATAGTCCTATCAAAAGGAAATTTGTGTGTTGTAGCCTCCCAGAGCAGTCGCAATCTGTGGGTGAGTGGACTGTCTTCAAGCACAAGGGCCACAGACCTCAAGACACTGTTCAGCAAGCATGGCAAAGTGAGTGTTGGCTAATGATTTTAGTAATGGAGTCCTTGTTTCTATGCTTTTACAGTGCTTCCCCTCTTCCGTATTTTTACAAGTCATGTACTTGTTCCTTCATCATTATCAACTCCCTCCGTAAAAAAACTGCGACAGCGTAGGACTTAGACCTGCATGTTTGCCGACAATCGTCTGAAATCCGACAATCACGAGGCGGACGATGTTATCGCTAGGCCCACCTGTATCGGTCAATGTGAGAAGTGCGAGGCCTGGCCGACTGCCAGCGTCCCCCTTTTCTTTTGTCGGCACTTTCGTTTTCGTGCCGACCACCGACTGCCGACGTCGGCGTTTCCGACATAATTGTCGGAACCTGAGTAGAAATGCGAATACGAAAAAGGACGACGACCTAAATTATCTACTTTCAGTTTCGTGCTCGAGCGGCCATTTTTAATTTCGTTTTGTTGACAAATTCAATTGTTCAGATCGTGTGGATTCATTCCAGTCCGACTCACTTAGATAATAGGATCTAGATCTAGATTTATATAGATCATTATAGACCTCTATAGAGGATTCATATTCCAATTCTATTTTGTCAAACCCTATCATAGGTTGTGCTGTAATATTAATGTTGGTAAAGGGCATTTCATCAGGTGCGAGAATTATTTATTTATTTAGAATCTAGACTCAGCTGAGCCCCTCTGTTCGGAATCGGATGCGGATTTCTAGTTCAAGGCCTATTCCTAGATCCTATTCACTTGTTCTTCTAGATCTAGATCTAGATTTGTTTAGTTTACTAGATCTAGATCTATATTGAGGATTCATATTCCAATTCTATTGTGTTATTGTATCAAACCCTATTATTATAGATCTAGCAATAAGTAGATGTAGGCCATTATATTATGCTCCTTGTAAGCCTTGTTTGTTTTGGAGTGTGGTTTTTTAATTTTAAAAATGTTTTTCATTTTTGACTTTTGCTGGCCTTTTCACATGAGGCTCATTGCAGGTTCTTGGGGTAGGGTTAGGTCTCTTCTTTGTTGTGTTTGTTAGGGTGATCGCTCGTTACTCGGAAGTCCTTCCTTATGACACCCACAAAAGCTCTTTGGGGAGGGGGGGGGGGTTGCGCAAAATTTTCAGACAATCTGGTTGAGGCTCACATGCAGGTTTAAGGACTAGATATCTACTGAAATTCCGTAGCAAATGATCCGTACTCGCCTTTGTATCGCCTTGTATAAGCTACGGGTATTTACGGTAATTCTCTCGGCAATAAGTTAATGTTACAGAGACCTGTCAGATTGCGCATTTCCTGCAATTGGCCTTTATTCCGCAATGCCCCAATTGTTCATTGCGAGTTGGTCAGCAGTACATTTTTCCCTTCAGATTGATCAAAATCTGGCAAACTTTTTGTGCCGATTTCCTCCTTTCTATCATTCACTCATTCCGTCATTCCATATGTCTGTCTTCAGACTGTTGCCGCGGCTGGAAAATATGCGCATTGTCAAGTAAATTGACTTGTGATCTTAGACAGAAAATTACTGTCAGAAAGAAACTTATTTGCAAATTTATTGTCTAGATCTAGAGAAATTATCAGTGCGAAGATTCTACGTCATGGGAACGCGATAAAAGAAATTATGCTACTAAAATAAAAAATAATTCGAAGTGGTGTTCTGAGGTTGTGACATGCAACATTCAGAAGTGAAAATTTTGAAAAATTAGGGTATACGCTGGGTGTTGTGAAGGTCCATATCTATTCATTATTCCCAGGTTTGCCTTCTATCAATCTTGCGATGACAAATTAATTGAATTGTAGTAGCAATGGAAGGGGAACCTGCTTTTAAACATTGCCAGCAATGGAATGATATGAAGGTGAAAAAATCAAACAAGACAAAATGTTGGCGAACTAATAAATGTTTTGGATTGTAGGCAGTCTCTTCAAACAGGCTCCTGAATGCCATTTTTAACCCTCTAAAAGCACTAAATTTCTATTTCTTCAGGGGCAAATCCCCCTGACCCCCCACCGGGACCCTACTGGGGGCCTATGCGGCCCCCAAGCCCCCCGCAGAATTTTCCTTACTTTTCAGCTTCAGCTGGTGGAAGCACTGCTTTAAAAAAATTGTTTTGTCTCAAGGTACAGGTAAGATTAGAGCATTAGTCTGTTTTAAAAAAAATTACTGCTTGTTTGTAAAAAGAAAACTTCTTAGACTTGGCTGATGATATTAGACTTATTACTTGACATTGTTCTGCAGAAAGTCTTATTGGGTATGATGTGACACTTTTTTAGTTTAAAAAAAAAAAAGAAAGATGTATGAATATATAACATTAGACAAGTTTCAAATTATGCTACCTTTTCATGCAGGTAATTGGCGCTAAAGTGGTGACGAATGCTAGATGTCCTGGTTCTCGGTGCTATGGTTTTGTTACCATGGGATCTGCAGATGAAGCTACAAAATGTATTCAACACCTTCATCGCACAGAACTTCATGGTCGCATGATTTCTGTAGAAAGGGTAAATATACTTTTTAGTTTTTACCTCACTGGAGACGTTCCACGCAGCATTTTCGAGCACCAATATTTTCTCGAGAGGCAGTTCACGCACCCACTGCGAGCACAAGTTTTGCGTTTTTTCCCTGTAAAGTATGTGCGCAAACTCTATGTGAACCGTCTCTTACCATGCAGCCGACCTTCGTTTCATTTTGTGCAAAGTATCACTGGAATTGGCTGGAAACTTTTTGAGTTATCTACCCACACTCAAGCCCTATTTTCGTTTCTCTGACTGTCTGTTCTCTCAACACTTTTTCAGTACGATGGCACCATGTTTAGTTTTAGTATGTTCAAAAAAAGTAGGAGAGATCAGGATGATAGATGTTTTATAGGAAAGAAGGAGCGAATCACACCAGAGCGACCGCCAACCACCCACTTGGCAGCACGAAAAGGAAACATTTTTCAAGTGTTTGACAGCTTTGAGAGTTCTGAAAATTCGGATATGATATTTTAGACCATGGGGGTCCTGATTTCAATATAATTGAGCATCAAAGCACTGATTCTGATAGCGAATGCTCTAGGTCTAGACTAGGATTTTAAATGCAAAATTCTGCTTTGTCTGGAGCCCTGTTTTTTTCACACTGAAGTGGATTACACAGATAAGACATAAGGATTATCATATCGATTACCTGCGTATTGATGAGTTTGGACTTTTTATTCATTTTGAAACACAAAAGGTGATTTTTTTGTTTTGTTTTTTACCCAAACATTTTTTGCGAGCAACAAATTTTAGCACATTTTAGAAAAATAATTTCTAAAAAATATAAAAGATATTGCCTTTGTTTTTTGTATCATATTGGCCATGTTTAGATCTGTAATGTGTGTAAGAATTGTGGTTGTATGTCTTTCGGAAGGGTTTTGTTTGAAATATTGAAATACCCCCAAAAATGCCACTTGTAGACCTGAAAAAGGCCCAGTCTCCTATGAGTTAATGTTGTTTTCCTTTTTATTTTCAAGATGGAATACCTTTCTTAAAGCATGATATGTTCAATTTTTTCAATAGATTAATATTTATAACATTGCATTTGGTAATGGTGTCATTGGTGGTTTCTATGTGTTGTGTTTACTTACTCTGAGAAGTGAGCAGTGAGACTCTTTTAGCTACTGTTCAAAACAGATTGGTTTATTTTCAGTTTTATCATGTATTTGTTTGGTTTGTAATATGTGCTCATTCTTTGATTTTTCTGAATTCTCTCTAGAATACAAAGAAGTATTAATTTATTTGTTGCAGAGGTCTTTATGTTCTAAAGTTTTCATTGAGAAAAAAATTTTTGTCAGGCAAAGACAGAGCCTCAGGGAGCAAAGGCTGTGGCTAAAGTTCTTCCTCCCAGTGGTATCAAGTCCCCCTCGAAGCCTAACAGCAGGCCAGTATCCAGAAGAAGTGACCCAAAGAGTGCTCCCGCCCGTAAGGAGGAGGCGAAAGAGGGTAAGTCTTGAAGAAACAATTCTCATGGAAAATACCCAAAATGCTTTTATTATAGAAAATGATGCCACTCAATGAAACTCTGAGACGTAAGAATTATATTTATTTTAATTTTTAAAAGTGGTCAAACTACGCAAATTTTATAGACCCTTTTATCTAATCTTGTATAAATTTGTTTTATGTACAGAGACCCCTTTTCTTGTAGTTAAAGAATTTATGTCAGTTTCTTATTGTTAAATAAGACTAATTTATAAATAAGATATAAATGGGAATGAGAAGAGAACTTGGTCAAGGGTGCTGATTTGAGTCTTTATAGAAAAAAGTGAATTTAAGATTCGCTGCATTAAGAAGTATTTGTATTTCAATTTTCTGACACTGGCATGAAATGATCCCCTGATTATACGTTCAGTACCAGCGTTTGCTCCATGGAAACCCTTACTAGCTATACGTTAAAAAAAATAGTTAAAATTTTTTTTGTCGCGTTAAAATTTTAAGTGTTGGGGTTACCAATAATGATTTTTCAAAATCTATTTTTTTTCAATCCCTTAAAACTTTTCATGCTTATTCGTAAGTGTTTGGTGCTCTGAGCTTAGACAGGCTTTTTGTTTCTTTTATATTCTTTATATATTTCTTGCTCTTTCTAGAAATTGACACATGTTTCTTTAATTGTGCAGGTGAGAAAAAGGAAGGTGTTAAAGACAAAGAACCAGGCAAAGACACTGCAGAAAAAGATGGGAAAGAGGAGAAAGGGGAAGAGTCGCGGAGTCATTCACGCCATAGAAGCAATGATCGAAGGCGTTCACCTAGCAGTGGTAAGTAAAGTTTGACTTCTGGGAAATTTCTGATGGCTGCGATGGTTGTCTTTTAAAACTTTGTTGGACAGACAATTTTCTAAATAAAACTTTTTAACGATTCATTGTACTGTTTAACATCAAGCTTTTATTATTTTGTGCCTCTCTTATTTGGTGGGGTGTTTCTGAAATCCTGAATGGATAAGATAATCTACTGTCAAGTGCTATGGTACGAATTACTGAGGAGAAAAAATGAGGGATGCCTGAAGCTAATGCCTCTGTCCGTAATAAAGGTATATGTTCTGATTGAAATTAGCATTTTTTTGTAAATATTCAGCTCAGTGTAGCTGTCCATTTTTGCAGTTGTATGATATCACAGTGACTTTTTGCTGAACTTCAGAGCTGTTGGTCTTCTGATTTTACAGCATTTTTAATGCAGGTTGGTCAGTGTTCAAAGACCATGTCAGGGTTTAGTATCTTAGTTCTACATAAACATTCTTTGATGTGAGAGGTCTTCATGTAGTTCTTTTGTTTTGAAGCTTTGGATCTCTCTGCCTTTATGGATTTCTCTCCCTATGTCAATTTCTGTCTTGAATTGTGTCAATTAATCTGTGCTCCTTTTTAGATGGCCACAGAAGAATATCAAGGGACAGGTCTGACCTGTCAGACAAAGCAAGACGGGAATTGGATGTTCTATCCTTTGAAAAAATAAAGGTAAAAATGTTGTTCTGAGTTAATTGACAGTCTGTTTCTTTATTTTGTTGCCACAGGGAAGCTGATGCTGCAAGTTTGGTTTGAGAAAGTTGAATCATGTTGTTTCAAGAGTTTAAAGTCTATTCGATTGCTTTGGTTTTATTAGATATCTCCGTGAATTTCTTCTTTTGTAGTAATCTTACTTTGTATACAACAGAAAAATAATGAACATGAAAATTTACTTGTGGATTTGAACTTTTTCAATTTTTAAAATTATATGTCTGGACTCATGATGCAAGATAGATAATGTGTTTATGTGCGATATCATAATTATATGAAAATGGTCTAGGTAAGGCTTGTGCCAAAATCCAGCTGATTCATGGCACTCTCATCACAGAAAATGGGGTATAGGTGCTATGAAATTCCCAACTTGTTAAATTCAAAGTCTGGCCAGTCTGGAAGGGAATTGGGGGGGGGGGGAGAGGAGAATCTGTTTACAAGGGTCTGGACAGGAAGTCCATTCCTAGATCCTAAGCAAGGGGAAGGAAGCCACCTCCCTTGAATACAAGCATTTAAATAGCACATTTTAAAAATGTTAAACATATTCCCAAAATCCTGAAAAAAATAAAAGTTCGAAAAATGAATGTAGATCTAGTTTCAGATAAATATATCTTTATGTATGCGCAAACTGTTGGACCCCCCCCCCGAGCGGTTCTACTGACTGAAGTGTTTTTAGGCCATTCCAAATGGGGAACATTTCTCGTTCTAATGCACAGTAGAATTGTAAATGGGCTGATTCAACGTCACGCTCACAACTGTGCCTGAACTAGAACAGGGAACTGCTGCTTTTTCTTTCCTAATCCTCACTATCGTCGTTTTCCTCTACTTCTTTTGTATGTTTGTCACACTCTTGTGACCTGATATTTCTGGTGTGCCTTGAAAGTCGGAACAGACTTTGTGCTGTTGAAGCTAGAGAGGTGAGCAGAGTAAACCTGATTCCCTGTAAAGACTTCTCTTTTGACATCCACCCCCTGGCTCATATGACCTTATGCAGTTGTGAGCGGCATAAAACCTCTACTATTAAAAATTTTTTAAAAAGAACTGTTGGAAATGTTCTTACTTAAGTTCAATCGGGGGTGTCCGACCCGTCACTCTCACTCTCAGCCTCCCGATCGGGCCCTAGATCTAAATTCTACATCTGATCAATCTGAATCACCCCAAACTCTTGCTGCAACGTTTTCATCAATATCTGGTTCATCTTGAATTGTCATGTGCTTGTTTTTGCTCAAATCCATCGTTATTTCCTTTTTCAAACTCAGTTGTGTTGCTTTTCAACAAGTCGAGACACGTTCAAAGTGTCGGAAACGCGAATGCACTTTGATCGGCTCTAATACTAAAACTACAGGCCCGAAAAATTTCGTTTCGGTATCAAACGGAAGAAGAAACATTTTGCAATAACTATGTAAATCGAAATCTCGGCCCCAGAGTCTCAGCAAGGCGAGACTTTGTTTCTAAAGAGGCTAGGTCGGCGCGTGTAATGAAATTCGCGGGCGATCCTGGGGGAGTTAGGGTTAATGTGTTCAGACTGTTGATTTTAGTCATTATCATAGCGTGTTGACAATATATGACCCATAAATGGAGGACAAGTTGATCTATCATACTAATTTGGTAATTACAAGTTGATCTGCTGTGTCTACTTGCATAGCTATGATTTTTGTACTTGACACTGTGATCATGTTTGTTTCTGTACAGGCTGAAAGAGACCGAATGAGGCTTAGAAACAAAGAAATGTTTCTTCGCCATGAAGAACGTAGACGTCAGCTGGGCATAGAGCGAGAGCATTACAAACAGCAACTTGTCGAGAAACGCCTTGGAGAAGAAGGACTCAAATTAGAGCGAGAGAGGCGCAGACTTAGGTCAGTGAAGTACATGTATAGAATTATCACTTTTCTAAAAATAATATATGAGCCATTGCCAAAACGTGGGGAAAAACACACACATCTCACATTAGTGTGCATAAAATGTGATGCATTAGTATTTATTCCTCCAAAACTCATACACCTGTCAAATATAGGATGTTGAACCTGCATTAGCAGTTTCAGACCCCATGTCAGCTTACAATCTTGAGTTTGTAAATTTTGTGCCAAAAATGTTCGTTTTTTAGTGATTCCTGGAGTGTCATTTTGAGCACACCAATGCAAACTTTCAAGAATGTTCAAAATTTAGTACTTTTTGGGTGGTTTTTTTTTTACGTGTGCTTTGATCCTATGCTATTTGTCATCGAGAAAGGTTAACTTGCTCAAGAAATGGGTTTATTTGTTTGCAAATAAACAAACAATTCGGATCACTTGTGCGTCAGTCGTGTCGTCACGGACTAGGTGTTTCAGAAAACACCATTATTTTTAAGTAGAATCACCGTAGCTGGTTAAATCTTTTTGCTTTTTGTCGTTTATTCAATACTTCAAAAGCCGCGATGTGCGAAAGGAACATCAGGTTCCTAGATCTACGATTTCGGTCGGCTGTTTAACATTCGCCGTGATTGTCGTCAACTTGGGACGTGCCGGAAGTTTTCAACATATATTTCATACATACAAGATTCATTCAGAAGCAAAATACGCCTTTATTGATCTGTGTATCTCTTACTGCAAATTTGTTCTTTGTAGGCATGATTTTACCTTTTCCCAGTATGTTTTGTCACCATTGTTATGTACGAGTACTGTTTGTCATAATTAGCAACATAATTGTGATCGTCCACTGTCTTTATGACCTGATATCTGTTTCAAAGCAAAGAAACCTCTCCTGGCTTTTTTAAAATTCTTAAAGTGTGCATTTCTCTCTGGAGGCATGACTTTGTCTTTTCCTGTACATTGTGTCATCATTGTTATGTACAAGTCATGTTTGTCATCACTCTTATGTACAAGTCAGCTCCATTGATTTTGTGCTTTTGCCTCATATTAGTTAAAAAATTGTTTTACACATGTGTTTTTCTGGTACTGAGGCTTTGATAACTGTATTTGTACAGCCTTTCACTATTGTGATGTGTTGTCAATGATAATGTCCAATGTGTATCCTTTCTTGTGCATAACAATGATGACATGTTCTGTGCACTGCGTCATTGTTACAAAGCTTGTCATTCATATTACCATTATGAATGGAGTTCATAGTGTACAAAGTCTTTGTTTATTATATAAATGGAATTTAAAGTCCATAATTTGCCCTACTGCTTATCTGTTTTTTCATCACTGTTACATACAAGAAATACAGTAGTTGCCAAACCAATAGACCCATATCTCCAAAACCCTACATCTCCTTGCTCTGATACTCTAGGAATACGAGCACTAAATGTCAATATGTGACTGACAGAAAAGAGAGTCAAATTGGTAAGAAAAATTTTTTTGCACCACTGAGTCTCAAGAGAGTCTCACGTTTTGGCAATTGCTCATTATATATGAAAATTACAGTGGAAACCTGATATAACAGGGATGGTGGGACCAGTAAAAAAGTCCTGTTATATCAGATCCCTGTTAAATCAGAAATGCAAGGGAAGTAAACATTTGTGGACAAATCCAACTGTATTAATTTATGGGTAGTTTCCTTTGCCACCAGTACCATGTGGCAGGCCTGCGCATGACACATTACAAGTGCGTGTAGCTAGGCTTATGGCTAGATTGAAGTCTGCAGCACACTGCAGCCCTCTCTCGCTTCACCGCTGCGTGTGCTTGCAGTGGCATGGCTTGCATGGGCTTGCCACATCACTGCGTTACACACACACACACACACACACACACACACACACACACACACACACACACACTCACTCTCACTCTCACTCTCACTCTCACTCTCTCTCTCTCTCTTTTACACATTGAAAACGAGACTTTCCCCCTGCTATAGCCGATTGGTCTCCGATGAGGCCCTGTTATTGCCGATAGCTTTTAATAGAGACGAAGAGTAGGAAAAAATGTGAATGTAAAAAATCACTGTTATTACTGGTTCCCTGTTATTTCCGAGCCTGTTATATATGGTTTCCACTGTATGTTTCAATTCAGTTGTGACATAAATCAAGGTTTTGAACATATTTGGTCTTTCTTCTACTGTCTGAACCTGACATTTGTCTCTGGTGCGATCTGAGCCTCACTTTTTAGTCTATAGTCAGCACTGTTTCATACCTTGTGCAGTTATCATCTCCTTGTGCACATAAATTACAGCATGTTATGAAAATGCAGGTACATGTGAGTGGTATGCAGTCACCTAACACTTTTGCTGCATTTCATTTGCCTCACCCTTTCCCCAAACTGCCCTTGCCCCATTAAAATTTGTCACTATGTTTAACATGGCAAAAACATTTTCTGGCTCCTTACCAATTTCAGTTTAGAGAATGCATCTATATCTGAAATGGTGGCTTATGGGAACTGCTTTTCCTCTTTTGGAATACATTGTGTTGAAAAATTGTTTCTAACTCAATGATATGCTTTTGATGTTGGTAAGTTTTTTTAAAAGCAAGTCGTTCTTATAAATTGTATTAGGAAATTGGTTCTTATCATGTCTATTGTTCTTGTTCTGCTGGTTCTTGATACTATTCTTAGAGAGGAGAGCTTTTCCCTTTATATTTCTACTCTTTAATAATACTTCTTGTAAAGATGAGTCAAGTGAATTGCTTTGTCTTTTGCAGGGAAATGAGGGAAGAACTGGAGCGTGAAAGGATGGAAACAGAGCGCCTGAAGCTGGAGACAGAACGTTTACAGATTGAAAGAGAACAGGAAAGTTACAGAAGAGAACAACAAAGGTAGGATATGTCTGATTGCTTTGTTCTAAGTTTTTGTAGCAGACAGAAACTACACCATTTTTCTAAAACTTCCCCCCAAAATTATTTGACTTGATAAATTTTCACCTAAAAAAAACAACTGCTCAAGCCAATTTTTAAAAATCTGTTGTATTCTTTAATTTAATACTCCAAGAAAATACTTTGGCTCAGGTCAGACCTTTTTCTGTGAATTTAGGTGTTTTTCTGACACACTTTCACATATTTAATGACTCCCTCTTGATCAAATTTGCTAAAAAGTTTGTTTAAAAAAAAATTGCTGAATGCGGTTGAAACATGTAGGCTCTATTACATGTTAAAAGTATTTCTATTGCTGTCCAGGGTTCTTCAAGATCGGCGCCCTCTCAAACGTCATCTGGATCGTGGTTCTAGAGATGAAGAATGGTCAGGCAGCAAACGACCGAACGAACGTTACCAATCAGACGGGTAAGTCAGTTCGTAATAGCTTTTGCCTTGCCTTTTAACCTGGTGTTTCACAATGTACAGGAGTCTTATCAGAGCCTAAAAAAAAAATTTTTGTCAAGATTTTAATGTAAGGATTTTGAAATTATGTTGTGATGACTGGACATATGAGAAATTTGTTGAGTGTATACCATGTCAGACCTGTTCACTGCTAACGTAAGATTTTCTACATGGTCATAATATTTTTTCTCTCCAGACGACCACCTCGTTATGAAAGAAAAGCAGAACGTTTTGAAAGACGTGAACAAGAAAGACCACCTCGATATGAAAACCGAAGAGAGGAGAGACCAGCTCGCCATGAGAGGTGAGATTCAGTGAAAGTTGTTCACTTTATAGGAATCTGTTTCTTGTTAAAAAAATAAAAATACCCATTATTTTATGTTTTATGTTGATTTTATCAGCTCAAGGCTAATTAATTAGGCCCTTAACTTGTATGTAAATTGGCTATGATGAACTTAAAAGTACATCGTGAATGTGAAAGTGTTTACAACACTGAACTATATCGTCGGTGCTCTGTTGAAACTTGTTAACTTTAATTTGCAAATTTTTCAGGGGAGACAATAAAAACTGTCGGACACTGTAATGTAAACACTTGGGCAAACAAATTTTGCCAGTGTAATGTGATGGGCCTTTGACAAAATCCTACAAAAAAGTATGTCTTTTACCTGGGCGCATGACAAAACATTCTTTACAGGAAGGATGTTAGTGGGATGTATCGTTTTCGCTTGCTCCAATTCAACCTCGCTGTCTTTGGGTTGTCTTCAAAAGCGTATGTTTATGCTCTGGATTGTTTTATAGTGTCCCGATGTCCAGCTAGTGAGCTATATATGTAACAACGCTGTGAAATCAGGCGCTCTTCAATTTTTGGGCATGTGTAGTTACTGGTATCATCTGAAAGTTTGTTTTGCTTTCAATGGAAAAAAAAAGCCAAATATCTTGAATAGAAGTCAAGATATCTGCGATTGAAGTGAGGTCGCTTGGTTTCAGTGGTGAAATTAGCGAGAAAATGGCCACCAAGATTTGGTAACGCCAAGAGGTAAAGAGTCCTTGAAAACTGATAAAGCGCATATTTTGTACCGTTAATCAACTTTTTAAAAAACATTCACGTGGAAATGGAAACATCATAAGAGTTGAAACGTCATAAGAGTTTACCCTACCCCCCCCCCCCCCCCCCCCCAAAATGGATAAAAATTGCCTGTTTCTTCTATTTCGTTATTTTGACGAGCACCTGATTTCCCCACGATACCGCACATGTTTTGCGTGGGGGAAAAGTTCTTTGTCCGTCAACACATCAAGTGAAATTGATATAAAGTAAGTGACCATGTGGATCAAGATGGCAATGTTCAATTCTTCAATGATCTGCGGAGCTTTACTGGTGCTCTGATGGAATCAGATATATCACGTTAGCGAGGTTCAATCTTTTATGTTATTTTGATGGATAGCAAGGTGTGTGCAGAATTTACAGTGCATTTTTGAGCACTTATAGTTTGAATTTGGATTGAATGTTTTACACATTGTATAGCAAGGTATCAGGAATCTTTTGGTGCAAAGAAATGATTTTTGCAAAAATCCGAGTTAGGGTTTTATCAGAGCACCAACATGATACAGTATCTTTTGAATACCGCTCATATTCAAAGTGTCATTTAAGGACTTGTCTAGGTAGACCCCAATTGTGAACTACATATTCATGGTATCTAGGTGGTCCCCAATTGGGGTGCACCTAGCCACCATGGCTCCCGTAGACCCCAATCTTATCATCAGTGTCTCTCGGTCTTGTTTACACTCTAGTATAGTCCTGCAGATTAAGGAATGGCATTTTATGTGTCCGAAATACTGTAATTTTCTTGATTTTATCTGTTGTGACAGTTCTGGACTAGTGTTTAGAAGGTGGTAAACTTGTTGGTTTGTTTTTCTCTACGTCAGTCTATGTACAGTGCGTTCATAAAGTCCTGACATTGCATCAAACTGTTTTTCTTCTCTTTTCTTTAGCAGCTGTTTAAATTCAGAGAAGCTATTAAGAGTTTGCCCAACAGTAATAGCTTAACTCCTTTCATTTTCTACCCCCCCGGGGCAGTGCCACTTACTTTAGGTGGGTGGTTGGCGGGTGCTCTGGTGTGGTTTGCTTCTTCTTTCCTATGAAACATCTTTCGTCCTGATCTCCCCTTTTTCTTTTTTATGTTTGTTACTCTCTTGTAACACCTCTAATCTTCTGGCGCTCATATGACCTTATGCAGTTGCGAGCGCCATAAAACCTCTACTAAAACTAAACTTACTCTAGTGTCTTAAGGCCATTCCCAAACGGAGGACATTTCTCGTTCAAGCATAGTAGAATTGTAAATGGGCTGACTCGTGTCACGCTCATAACTGTGCCTGATCTACAACAGGGAACTGCTGCTTTTTCTTTCCTGATCCTTACTATTGACATTTTCCTCTACTTCTTTTGTATGTTTGTCACTCTCTTGTGACCTGCTATTTCCGGGGTGCCTTGATAGTCGAAGCAGACCTTGTGCTGTTGAAGCTAGAGAGGTGAGCAGTCTAAGTCTGATTCCCTGTAAAGATTTCTCTGTTGACACCCACCCCTTGGCGCTCATATGACCTTATGCAGTTGCGAGCGCCGTAAAACCCTCTACTATAAAAAATATATAATATTTCATTTTCTGTTGTATATTCCGGGAAGCATTGGCGGATGCTCTGGTGTGGTTTGCTTATTCTTTCCTATCAAACATCTATTGTCCTTATCTCCCCTTCTTCTTTTTTATGTTTGTTACTCTCTTGTAACACCTAATCTTCTGGCGCTCGTATGATCTTATGCAGTTGCGAGTGCCGTAGAACTTCTTCTAAAACATTTTTGGGGAGCACCTAGCCACCATGACTAGGTCTACCTTGACACTTCTGTCATTTAATTGAAACTACAGTTACCCCTAAGGCAGGTTTGACTGTAGTATCAAATTCTCCTTTTGGTTGCAATCAGGGAAATTCCAAAAGTTCTATGCATGGTGGGATTTCTTCTGCTTTGTACTTGAGTTTCAGCATGGTACTAGAATTCACGGGTCTTGATTTCAGATATGAAGAACGTGAGCGAGGTGGGCGAGAAAGGGAGCCAAGAGAAAGGGAATACAGGAGCCGGGAAGACCACCGATCCGGTTATAGGGAAGAGAGGCCAAGAGAGCCCCGATCATCACGGGAGGAGAGAGTGTCAGGCCGAGACTCTGCCCGAGGGCCGCAGAGGCATGAATCCAGGTCTGAATGGAAGTCTGAACGAGGTGGGAAGCCGATGCGTTCGGTGTTGAGGGGGTGATTAAGATTATGGGGATACATTTTTGGCTGGGGAATAAGAAAAATTTATTCTTGCAGTCTATCTCTCCTTTCTGTTTCATTTCCTTTTTTCTTTTTCAATTGAAGATGACTTCATGCCTTTTTTCTGGCTTTGAAATGTTTTGTTTGTATGCATGTGTTCTACTCCTTTTGACTGACACAATTAATTTCTCTCCCACTTGTCATATTTTTAGTTAGTTGTAGTGGTAATAAGTTATGGGTGGATTCAAAAACTAATTGGAGGGGGTGTACCTTTCATGGGTGACAATGGGTCAACGTTACAAAATGAAAGATTTTTTGAATGGCATGATGTTCTTTGAAAATATACCTGGTCAGTATTATAGCATATTTTTATAAATTTTTGAATGGTACAAGTGTTACACAGCCAGGACAAATCGGTCCCACCTTCGGTCAGGTTGGATGTGATGCATGATACTGGAGTAGATTTTTTCCCCCTTTGTGAATTTGTGCATTAAAGGCCTTTCTCACAGGTAGGTTCTGTCACAGCTACGATTTCTCTTCTACACATTGAGTTTTGAATTTGGATGGAACATTCCACAGTGTGGTTGTCCAGTGCTGTGAAAATTTGGGGTATGAATTCTGTCCCAGATGATGTACCACTGGCTTCACATGATGTGGTTTTACTATGTCTAGCTTTGCATTATATTTTCAAGAAAAGAAAGCTGGTTGGAAAAAAAATCTGATGGAAATTGGGAAACAAAAACGGGTGTCTTAAATAAGGCACTGAAAAGTTCAGACAGAAAGCAAAATGACAGAGTTCCCATCCCTCGTTACTGTGCTGCAAGAAAGGATGCATTGAGCTCATACTGCTATGAAGCGCTTTGCTCTCAAAAGGAGGGAGATCAGAATAGAGTAAGAAAAGAAACATAGGGAAGTTATTTTGTGTCAGCTGGTCACTGTTAAATAGCAGATTCATACACTAGAATTTAAAGTAAGTACACTGTGAAGTCAGATCGACATAACTTTTAGCCATTGGCCCCCTTGTCTTTGAGATGCACACTCTCAAGCCTCCAGAGTGTGTAACTCGGTGCTTGATTGTATTCTTGTGAAGCTCAAGCCAAAATTGTTTGTGTGATCAACAGATTTACTTATATACGTACTGAGAACTGTGTTCGAACTGAATGTGCGGAAGGCTTTTGAAAGTGATGTATCAGATATTCCTCTGTGTTTTGTCACTTTTATTATTGCAGTAGTTTGACGCGTTGCCTGATTGAATTACTGCATAATTAATGATTTTGGCTTTCATATTGCTCTTTAAAATAAAGCAGTGATATTTGCCCATGTTGATTGATTAGCAAATAATATCCTTGTAAAGAGTGGGCGCTTATTTCATTAAAAATATTCTCTTGAAACATTGGAAGCTGTCTATGAGAACTAGAGGAAAGAGGTGGGTCAGTAACAATCCTCTAAAAAGTTTCACTTTTTGGGACGCAAACTGGCTATTAGTGTGAGAAGTAATAATTGCCTTGTAATAGTGGGTGCTAATTGCATGTACTAATGGGTTTGTAGTAAGTCATTTCTTTCTTTTGTTTGCTGCCCTATGCTTTTGAAATCTTTATTTATAGCATTGTTTTGCCTTTCATTTGGCTTATTATAAAGGGGGGGGGGGGTGTTATACAATTAAGTTTTATTTTTATTCCTGTAGGAGTTTGATTTGTTCAGATGATATTGATCTATGTGATTCGATTTTTGGTTAGTGTGGGTTTTTTTAACTTAAAATTTTTCATAGTTTTCTGAAAAAAGCATTAGGTGACTGCCACTCATTTTATTTATGTGTTAACATGCTCAGAAATGCTTGAATATCTGTAGTCTGGTGCTCATTGTCCATAGTTTGTTTTCCCAGAGACGAGAGGTGGGTCTGGCGGGAGTTCGAGCATCTGGAACGGTCCGGTGGATCGCGAGATGGAGAGTGGCTGGAGCCAGAGTGGCATGACCGCGGCTAGCTTGACTCCAGCGGAGGGCTGGGAGAGCGGCGGGGTTGTCATGTCACAGCCGGGAGGGAGTTTCACCATGCAGCAGGGACCCATGATGGCCAGCGGGATGGGAGCAGGACCTGTGTTCATTGCTCAGCCCGCCATGCAGGGCCCGCCAGTCATGATGCAGGGCAGCCTGAGTCGTCAGGGAGACGGACGCTACAGCATGACCACAAGCACTGTGCGCAGATTTTAAGGACTTGTGTTCTCTGGCGCAATCCTTCTTTTATGGATCAGGGTCTTTTTAAACGTTTTTATTCTTGCCCTGAAACATTCTCTGTGCTAATACTGTGGTCTATGCCGAACATCCCACCACTTATTGTCCTGGTTTTTCCCAGTCATATGTAAGAATTTTAGCAGGGGGGAGGGGGGTGCTTATCATAATAAAAATGTTGGAATCGTTACATTTTCTAGCAGTCATTTTAGTGCCTGTGGCTTACATAGGTTCCCAACGAGTATCATTTGTGTGGCTTTATGTTGTGGGTGGGTAGGAGGTATAGGACTTTGATCCTCCTCTTGTGTCAAGTCATTGGAAACTTTGCTCTACCCTACTAGAATACTCATCCTCACCCACATTTCCTTGTTAGACACAGTGCTGATTCACTCTTTTGGCTGGGCACCATTGCCTAACATCTGCATTTGTTGCCATTTTATCACCGAAAAGTTGCCACAAAAATGGCAAAAGTTGTCATAAAATTTGCCAATAATTTTCAAGCTTTCAACTCTCTGACGACAAATATAGCAATATGTTGATAGAGTTATTTTAATCTAAAGCATCAGAATTTCTTGTGTTCTGTTTCAAGCATCCAGAAAATCATTTGTAGCCACACAAAGTATAAAAGCCTGAAAAATAAAGGTTTCACAACAGAATGAAATCAAAATTAGAATAGAACATTAACGACCACAAAAATTAACACAGGGATGCCAAATCTCCGGTTTTTCCATTTTTTTCATACACTTGCAAAGGAAAGGTGAATGGTGAGAGAAACGTTTTTGATTGCTCATTTAAAGATTTTACAAGGTTCGTTTTAGGTGAGGTGTGATGCTGTGCTCATTTTCAGGTTTTTTGTTTTCAAAAATCATTTGGCATCCCTGTTAACAAATAAGGGCGTGTGTCCACCTGTCCGAAGAGTGGCTGTTTTAAACCTAAACATGTGTTATTCAAGAAAAAGTACAGGATATTACATGTAAATTGTGGAATCACACACAAGGGGCCTGCCAGTGTCAGTACATGTACATGATGTATTCGGTTTTGGTGGAGACACGCTCTCACATAACGCATTCTTTTTTTTAAAGGTAAGAACATCAAATTAAATTATATTGACATTACGATAACACAAAAAATAGGATACCCATCAGAACAATAACAAGAAAGGAAAATAACACACCAGCAAATTAAAACACAACAAAGAGAGAAAAATAGAAGAAAAACAGCAATATAAATAGTATATAATGTACAAGACTTTTTTTCACATGAAAAGAACAAACGTGGGGTCAGCAAGTAAGAAAGAGAAGTGAAACGGAAGTGAAAATAAACTTTCTTTCTATAAATAAGTAAAGAGGTTGGTTTTCTTTTTTGTTTCTTTTTAGTTTTTTATACCCCGTTTTTTTTCGATTTTATTCCCCTATAGTGTGGTTTTTTGAAAAATGCAAAAAATCGCCACAAACGTAGATGCTAGCATTGCATAATGGGTTGTGGACCACACCAGGCACTTTTACCTCCGACATTATTTTTCTTGCCAGGGTCTAAGTTTTCATGTTATCTCGGAGAGGAGGGGCAGTGGGGTGGGACTTTAGATGCCTTGAGACTGGATGACTAGCATATATTCAGACCAATTGTAAAGGCTACTTTGATCTTTTTCCATACCCGGTTCATAGACCTGCCATACTGGGATCACCCCTGTTGGTTTCAAAATGAGGGGAAATTATGTTGACTTGTTCATGAGCTGTTCCTTATTGTTTGGCCACTTAACATGAAGCAGCTCTTTCTACACAACAGAACACAGAAACCTAAGGTGGAGACCATGATATTGCCTAATGGTTACTGCTGTTGAACTGGCTCGCACTGGATTTTGAAAAACTTTTAATGAATATTTTCTCTTTTTGTCAGCTGTTTATTGGAATCTGATTCAAGGAGATGAAGAACAAAGCGTTAAAAGTCTGAACATTTCCATGGTTACAATGTTACTGTGTTGCTTTAATTCCTGACTCCATTTCCGTTGTATGTTGGTGAAGGGAGAGAGAAATTTGTGGCCAATGTGCTCTGTGTTTGTCATAATGTTGTGAAAAGGAAAAATGTGTAAATATTAGCCATTGGTGATAAGAAAGATTGTTTTATATTGTTTTGTTTGAGGTTTTCTTTCCCAGTGTGTGTAGACGCAAAGATTGTCACCAAATATTGCTTGGTGTGTCAGAATGCTGTTTCATCAAATTGTCCACCATTGATATTTTTCATTGTTTTTGTATGGAAGCATCATTAAAGAAAATGGCACATCTTTATCCCCAAGGTGTTGTTTTATGCAAATACAGTATTCTTCTATGTTGTGTGGAGCCACTGGCCATTTTTTAATATTGAGTGGGAATGCAGAGTTACGGTCGGAGATGAACATGTGCAGGGGGGGGGGGGGGGGGGGGGGGGGGGCTGCCCAGCCCATCATTACGAAATGGGGGGGAATCATTTTTTTTTTTTCCATTAGATTTTACGAAAATATCATAATACCCCTGATTCTGATTTTTACACATTTATTTGTCGTTCAGCTACCCCAACCCATCCCCACAGCTTTGGCTAATAAGGGAGGGAAAAAAATTGGACTCTGACAGTCCACATCTACGTCACTTCCACGTGCAGCTGTGCACTCTCTGTGTATTGAGCCATCGTAAATTTTCAGTGCCACTTTGTCCATTAGTAGTGCCAAAGCCAGGAGCAAGGCAAACAATAGGTTAAAAAGTTGTTTAAAAATTCCTGTCAAGGTTCAATTTTTTCCCTAGGTTGATGAGAGAATTAAAACAATACACAACAAATAAAACAAAACACAAACCCGTAAAAAAGGATCTTTTTGTGAAACATGACTTATCCTCTCCTGAGTCACTGGGTGTAATCCACTCAATGACCCCCTTTAACGTAGGATATCTCAAGGGGAGACTTCATACTCCATGGTCAGATTACTAATCTTTTATATGTTGATTACTTTGCTTTAACATAGTATATAGTATACAGGTGGGTGGGAAGCCCTGAATGTGTTAACTCATTTTGATCGTTCTGTATCCATTTACATGTTAAAATATTCAATGATTAGCCTCTGTGGGTGCTCTGGCTTGTTTGCTCCTTCTGTCCTATAAAAAAAATGTATCATCCTTATAGCTCTTTGTTTTATGTTTGTTACTTTCATGTAACACCTCTAGTCTGGCACCAATAATGTATGACTAAACTCACTGGCAACTCATGGCGCAGTCATAGTAGGCCTACTGTTTCCGCTGACTACCTTTGCTGCAGCGGTAAAATACTTACTAAAACTATAAGGGTACATCAAAGATTTGGCAGGTAGCAGTGAGTTAAATGTTGCAGGTGGTGTGAAACTCTTGCTAAAACTATAACTAAAACAAAACAAAAAGTTAGCACCATATATGAGGTGGTTGGAGGGTGCCACCGGAAGGTCCCTTTGTTGGCATTTTGACAGACATGTCAAATCCAGATTATGAAAGATATTATTACAGTGGAACTCGGATTTAATGAGCTCGGATTCAACGAAAACTCGGATTCAACGAGATGAGATAGATTCCCTGTTTTTTTTCTCTCTTTAAAATCAATAAAAATAACCCGGATTCAACGAGCACTTAAATCAGCAAGCTCGGATTCAATGAGGTCGCTTCCAGGGTGAACAGCCCCCGCAGAAGTGGCTTCGCTTATTTTTCTCCAAGAACGAACTTTATCTATTCCTGGAAACCATCAATTGCACCTGCATTGTGGACCATTATTCTCTTAGCCGATTGCATGCGAACAATCAGCGGCCTTTTTTCATACAAACACATGTGTTTTTGGCACGTGCACATGTCCACTCTGGTGTGTGTCTGAGTCGGATGGGCAGCCTGCACACGTATGGCTGTGTGTGCGTGTCTTGGAAAGGGGGGGCACAAGCAGTCAGGGCGTTGAACGTCGCAGATACAAACGCGTCTCAGTCTTTTTTCCCCTCTGCAACTGATCATTACAATGATAAGCTAGTCTTGACGTAGATCTACGTAATGAATTGTGCGCTGGTCTATGGAATCAAAAGTTGCCGTATGGTAGGCTCTACACATCAACACAACTTTTTGGCAAACAATCGAGATGACTCGGGTGTGTGCATTTGAACGAATCGGTCTTTTTTTTACACAGCTCATAAAAGGCAGGCATTTCAGGCACTACTTGTGACTTCTCTTTATACATTACTTGCTTAGTGCCTGTAATTATCTAAGCAAAATCTCATGTTTGCTATTTATAACGAACACTCGGGTTCAACGAGATTTTAGGTCAGGCCTGGCGACCTCGTTGAATCGGAGTTCCACTGTACTACTATTGTGCTCTGGACTCTGAAATAACTGAAAATGATTGAGTTAAATGAATTTTAACCTTGGTGCAATGTTAAACACTGATACAGTAGAACGACTATAACGGCACCCGCTACAGCGGGATTATTCCTGCAGCGGAAGCTTTCCGGAATCCCCTTTTTTTCTATGTAAATTCAATTTTCTGTGCTCGGGTTTAGCGGGGCAAGGAACGGACCGAACTCGGATACAGCGGGAGAGATCGAGCGAGGCTGGGGGAAAGGGGAAATGGGTTCGGGGGCTGTAGGCTGGCTCCACACAGGCAGTCAGCGGTGCGGCATTGTGATTGGACAGTCCAATGATGAGTGAGGTTGGGCAGGCGGCAGAGAGAGATGGTGCGGAGAGATGCGTTTCGTGAGCCACTCCAAAAGTAATGTGCCGTAGCTTAGATTTGGACTTGGACGCTCAGTATGAGAACATATAAAGAAGGCCAAGATAATCAACGGAGTGGACAAGAAAAGGAAGACTAATGTAAATGTAAAGGGCAAATTTATTGATATGGAAGGGAGGTAATTATGTGAATTTTTATAAATTTTTCAGTAATTACCCCTTTGCATTCTATAGCGGGAACTCGCCTACAGCGGGATTTTTCTTCTGAAACCAAAAGTCCCGCTATAGCCGTGTTCTACTGTAGTGATAGCATTGTTCAGTATCGGCAGGTAATTGATATTAGATCTACGTCTTATTTAGCTCAGCGATTTCAGGAAGCTACCTAAGAACATCTATCGTCCTTGTATCTCTCCTCCTTTTCTGTGTTTGTTACTCTCTCTAACCTCTAATCTTCAGCACTTTCATTTGTTGACTTACTTAATTGTATTGTTAGTACTATAAAACGCTTACTAAACTTAAAACTATGGTACCTCATCATGCTTTGTTCATTCATTGATGTCCAGCTTCATTTGCTGACCTCCACCTCGTTCCCAACTCAAGTTTGTAGATTGCAGTAGGGAATAAGAGTTTCATGACATTTGCAACACAATTAGGTCACGTAAGTGCGAAAGATTAGAGGTGTTATTTGAGAATAATGTAAAAAGAAAAGGAGGAGAGATAATGGTAATAGATGTTTGATAGGACAGAGGGAGCAAACCACTCCACAGCATCCACAGAAAAGACAACAGTAATGGTATATTCATTGATTTTTAGTTGGTGTTTTACGGCACATACAACACAATAAGGTCATCGTATTATATCGTGTTATAAGTGCCGAAGATTAGAGGTGTCACAAGAGTAACAAACACAAAAAAGGAGGGGAGATAAGGACAATGTCTGAGGAAAGCAGGAGCAAACTACACCAGAGCGGAGCATCTGCCAAACCACCCACTCTGTTTTTTGAAAGGGTGAGATGAGAGACAAAAATTACGCAGATGAGAAGCATGTGCAACATAGTGTCATTGATCAGCACTTTCTGAATCATTTTGTGGCTGCGGAGGTGAAATGAGTGGATGAACATATATTACCAGCTGCAGTATTTTTGCTCAAAGTCAAAGAGACAAAGATGTATTAGACTAGAGGGTGAGAGAGGCTCAGCATAAGAATGAAGATGTTGACCTACATCACCCTGAAAGTGGCATGTCACTTGTCGTTCCCTCAGAATTATAAAGTTCTAAATCTATCTGCTTAGTACCTAGTTTTGAGAAATTTGACGTTAAAGATTTTAAAGTTTCATATCATGTCAAGCTTTTTCGAATGCAATCCTTTGAATATCTTGATAATGACTCAGAATAATCTTACGCTTTTGATAGAGCAATTAGAGCGTTTGTTTTTGATCTCATGGTCTTAGTAACTCAAAACGGCCAAAAATGTCGGACAGAACTTTGTCATTCTGAGGTAGCGACTAGTATCTGCATGCAGTCATGTATCTTGTGTGAGTATAAATTAATTGACTTTTACTTTTACCAGTAGTTTTTAATCCCTTTGTTACCAGGGGGTGTGCGTTCCTACTGCGTTGTCAGTGCAGCACTGATTTTCAGTAAAGCTTGACCAGTGTCTGTTGTGTAGCATTTAAGCAATTTGCTGTTGCACGCAGGAGATCGGAGTTCAATTACCAAGAGAGGGGACATTTTTATTGAGCATCTTGGTCTTTCTGCTGGGATGTTGTATCCCTCTCAGCTCGGGTTAGCACGGAGAGGCAATAATGCGCTGGTGAAAATGATCCGTTTCGGTCTTCTGCGCCAGGCCCGAGAAGTCCGTCGCAATCGCTCTCCTGTCTCGGTGACCAGATAGATAGGGTATTTTGTACTGCTGGCTGTGTGACTGCAAAGTGTTAAAAAAATCCCTCATAAAAAAGAAAGCTATGCCTGTTGGCCAGGACAGCAGCCTCATCAGTCTCAATGTCAGTGGGCTTGTTCTCTGGTTCTGGCCCACTCGTGACATATTCGGGCTCTTGGTCTTTGATAATGCCTCATATCTTTCTATTCCCCAATATACCCATTATTTTGGATAATTTGCAAAATCTATGGCCCAAAGTGAAATTTGCTGCCTTTTTTGGGTCATTTTGGTGTTTACGTTAGCATACTTTTATCTCCAAGACTAGTCCTGTCTTTTTTTTTTTACTGCTTCCAAAATAAGCAGTAAAGTACATTTTAGTTTTAGCAAATTTGGTTGAGATATATAGATCTATGCACACAAATTTTTAATTCCCAAATATGAATCCACACTGTGCTTGGGGTCAAATTTCTGTACAAAAGAATTAGAACGAAATGATTATACAGTCGAACCTGCCCTGACGGCCACCTCTATAAGACGGCCACCTGTAAAAACGTTCACTTTCCATTTCCCCCCTTGCGTTTTTTCGATGTAATTTAACTGTGTAAATCGGGCACCTGTCCAACGCGGCCTCGGCCACCATATTTTAACTTAAAACCCCTATCACACCTAACAGTACTGTAACACCTGTCTTGGACGGCCCCCTTAGTGACACCATTACATTTTGTCATAAATCATGCATTGGCCCTTGGCGTTGTGGGCGAACCGTATAAATCACCTGTCGTTGCTGTTAGGTAGTCCCTCCAACCGATCATGTTGCGTAGGCCCCTCCCGCTGTTGACCAATAGGTAACAAATTTTCAGCTGCTGGTGAGGTAAGCGTGTGATCTCTCATAACCCATAAGCCCCGCCCAGAACTCATGTACAAATCATAGATGAGTGGTGACTATTTAGTTTACCCAGTCTGTAACCAAGTAACAATGGACGTCAACATGAAATTGTGACGGAAGCGTTGTTCGTTCTTCGAGTGGTGGCGACCCATCTGTTTGTTTTACCATAGCACTCGGTCCTACTTGTCTGACACATTAATTTCGTTTTATTGTTACCCTTGCACAAAAGCAGCAACAAAATAAAAGAAAGAAAAGAAAACCCATCGATAACAAGAACAACAACAACAATGCGGATACCTTCGGTTGGGACCTCAGAAAGGAATGGTTTGTTTTCTTTATCTTGATCAGTCCTGCCAAAGACGGCCACCTGTTTTATGCGGCCACTTTTCTCCTTGACAATGGGTGACCGTCTTACACAGGTTCGACGGTAGTGTGATGTACAATTCACATTTGTATATTATATATGTGTAACATTTTATCGGCACCAGGAATGGCAAATTTTGCCGACTTCCATGACATCCATGGTTAGACACATAGCTAAAAATTGTGCATTTTCGAGAGATACATCTCGACACACGTACCTTGTATGTCATAAGGCAAAGGAGAGACTAACTGTACTATATATTATTATCATGAATCATCGGTTTGGCTGGTCTATCAAAAGACTGCACAGATATTGGTTTACACATTCCCCAAATTTAACATTTCTCCTACTTCCAAGTCAAAATGTCAATTCTGTTTGAAGTAGCCCTTCTGTAGCAGTAATGGTGTTGAGAAACACACAGACATTGATTCATGTCATCCTCAAGTTTAGGTCTTCACACATCTGCAGATAGGTACAGTGGAACTGAGATTCAATGAAGTCATCAGGTCTGACCTTCAGTTTCGTTGAATGAGAGTGTTTGTTATAGCAAACTTGAGGTTTTTTTGTAGATAATTCCAGGCACCGAGCAAGTATAATGTATTCGACTTTCTCAATCAAAAGTAGTTTAGTTTCAAATGAGAGGCATTTTCATTTCTTTGATGCCATACCGAAGAATCCCTGGAAAATTCCAGGAAAACATACTGAACTTTACCGAGCACACATCGTGCAATAAGGCCGATTCATTCAAAAGCACGCCTGTGTCAGCTATCATCTATAACGTATTGTTTACTGATCAAGTTGTGTTGCTGTGTAAAGCCTAGCCTACAGCAATGTTTGGTTCCAGTCCAGCGCAATTCACAACGTAGATATTTATGTTGAGACTAACTTATCATTGTTATATTAATCAGTAGCCGGGGGAAAAAAAACCCTGACTCGCTAATATCTCTACACTCTACTGTAGTTTCACACCTGGACTGCTTGTGCCCCTACCCCCCAGATATGCACACACAGTCACACGTATGCCCGCTGCGCGTCCGACCCCGACACTTGCTAAGACAAGTGTGTGTGCTAACAATAATAATAATATGTGTGCTGGTATAAAAGAATGCCACAGATTGGTCGCATAAGATATAAACAATAGGGTAAGCGAATAAACGTTCATTATACAGGTACCATGGACAGTTTCCAGGAATAGATAAGGTTGGTTGTGGGAGAAAAATGGGCAAAACCACGTCAGCGGGGGCTGTTCACCCTGTAAGAGACTTTGTTGAATGCAAACTTGCTCACATATGGTCGCTTTTTAGCACAAAGGGGCTATCCCGAAAAATGCTGTTTTGAGAAAATCGAAGTTAAAGTTTTTGCCCCTTGTTAAGTTTCTTTGAATTTAAAATAAAAGGAGAGTTTTCTCTATTACCAAACAAATATACACACCAATGAAACCAAACTTCTCCTATAGGTAGGGTAATGCCCACTTTTGGTCGGTCAAGATTTCTGGTAACCCCCAAAATCTGGGTAAGCCCGCTTGTGCTTAAAAAATAAAAGCGACCATACATGGGTTAGTTAAATCCGAGTTATTTTTATTGATTTTTGTGAATTAAAAAAAACTGGGAATCCAACTTTCTATGGAGCTTTTGGTATGGAGTAGTCGTTCTGCAGGTTGGTCCATTTACATGCTCTTCTCATCCATGAATGAATCTATCAATTCCCTATGGCCAACTGCTCAAATGAACAAATTCCACTGTTTCAAGCGTGAAAAAGACTTGACTTGAAACAAATGAAGCAAGCAGGATTATTAGGAGTTATCCATGCACAACAAAAATGAATAAAGCAATAAAAATTGTGGATCTTTATTGACAAATCCAGCAAAGACCAAATTTGTTGACATTTAGATTGTACTTTGGAGGCAGGAGCTGCCAATGATTGAGATAGGGGGGTGGGGGTGGAGAACAATGGATAAAAATAAGACAGAGATATGGAAAATGTGTACACTCATATAAATTCATATGAATGAAGGTGGGGGGTAAAAAGGACAAAACAAGGGAACAGAAAGAGATAATAATACTGATAGAATAGTTAGCTACTCTTGCCTCACCGAATTCCTACCTTTGACCCTTGAGATCAAGGTAAATGACAACTATGGCTAGCTAACGTGGTTCATAGCATTCAAACAACACAACCGTGTCACCAAAGCAGCTACAATTTCATCATTTTATTTGATAATGATAAAAAGTAAACAAATATTTGTACAGTCACAAGCCTTTTGTATAGTGGGAAGCAAGCAGTCACAAAATATTTTAAATTCAGTATGCAAAACCAGAGTGATTTTTTACTTTGTATTTTTTTTATGCTTCATTCACAGAAAACCAAATTAGAAAAGACATTAGATTGATTATAAAACATTTACACTCTGTGTTTATTGCAACAAATGCTGCAACATAAATGATGGATGTCAACAGCATTAGTGATTTTATAAATCTTTTAAAAAATCGCTAAATATACACAAACATTCAACGACTTGTAATTTACTGGTAGCCCTGCAACTTGGTGCGGGATGGGAAGCGGTTCCTCACTGTCAGGCACTTTTCACGGTCAATGAAGATGCTGTTCTTCTTGACTGAGATCTCTTTCTCCAAGCCCATGCGGTTGTCCTGCAGGTCTTTGAGAGAGTTCTGGGCTTGGTTCAGCTGTTGCTTGAGAGCATCGATCGACTGGTTGATCTCATTCACCTCACCCACCAAGCTGTTGGAAACAATGACAATGTGCTTAAAATGATGCGTATTAAAACAGCAAAACAAAACAAGGCGTGTACAGCAATGTCAATTAACGAAACATGAATTGTCAACCGAGGTCATAGCCAGAATTTCAAAACGGTGAGAGTTTATCTCTTATTGAAGTATGTAATATTGATAACAATAATTATGATGATGTGTCTGTCAATGTCTGACGATGACATATGCATTAATAGAGGAGAGTATTTCTTAAGTGAAAGAGAAGAAACAAAAGTTAACTCTTTCCGGACGTATCGCTGATATATCAGCGCAAGTCCACACCCCTTGCGGACGTATCGCCGATATATCGGGTGTGATAGGGTGCTTCAGTATTGCTTCGTTTTAACACGAGCCGTCATTTATAATTACTTTTTATTGCTATTGAAAAACTCGGAAAGGACGTAGGAAACGAAAACATCTAGTTTCACTTTGTCAAAGCATGGGTTTAGGGAAAAACGAGTGAATTAGTTCTTGCGGTCTTGCATCAACAAAATGATGTAACCGGACTCAGTATAAATTTCGTAACTCAAACAAAAATTGGAACATTGCTTTCAAATAAAAAGCTGCGAATTCAGAAATTTATGGGTTATGCTCTTAGCCTGTATAATAAGATAGCTATGCTGATTTGCTTTCACATGTTAGGTGAATGTCATTTTTTCTGTCAAAATTTATTTTTCTCATCACCATTGGCATTTCTAACCCTTCAAAAGCATACTTATGTTCAAAATGAATCCTTGTTTTATATTGGGATGTACTCCTCATTCAATTTCCTTCAATTTGATATATCATATGTTACATTTGGAGTGATGGCTTCTATAAAGTTATTTTGTACACCACCTGCATAGCCAAATCGAGCCACAGGTTAATTAAGACCCAAAAAAAACTATGTCCGGAAAGAGTTAAGATGACATGTTTCTGCTTTGGCCTATGAGAACAATTCTGGCTGGGAAGAATTTGCCACATTTTGAGTGTTTAAAAGCGGATGTGTGCAGCTTGTCTGCTGAAGAACATTAAGAAGTAAGCTCAGTTACATCAGCACAGATATGTTTGGATGAAATTTGTATGTTTCTTATATTCTTATAACAATGATGACTCGTTCATGCCTCAAAAGGCCATTGTGGGTGAGGTGGATGTCATAGAAAATACAGTAAAACCCAGATAACACCAACTTCATGGGATCAGTAAATTTCTTTGTGTTAAACAGTTAAAACAGAGCACCGTATTAATGAAAAGAAAAAAAAACAGGGAGGCAACTCTGAGTTAATTGGCTTCTATATATGTGCAAAGCCTTGTGTAACCTAATTTTAGTAATTTAAAACACTAGTAGAGCTGCCAAGTTTTGGAAATTGAATGAAAGGGAAACCTTATTTTCAACCGTAGGCTTGATGATTTTTCATGCTACATCTCAGTATTTAAAAGCAAAAAACAATAACAAAACATTAAATTGTTAAATCATAGCTGCATTTCATAAAGATAATCTGAAAATTTGAAAAGAAATGGGACTTCATATTACTGTACACGGAAGTAAGAGCAAGGGAATAATTCTATAAAATAGGCCAACTGACACCTCAGTGTACAGCATCATTTTTATTTATTTATGAGATACTTGAACCAAGTCCGATCCAAAACTTTCTTGTTTTTTTCTTCTTCTCGATTGCACTACCCGAAGTCCAGAATCTATCATACACTGGACTGCCCTGCGCAGTTCTTCTGTTGGCTCGTACAACTTCTTTTGCAGTGTCAATAAGGTTGGCAATGTTTCTGTCTCAGGGCCCTGTGTGTCTTGCACTGCTGAAGGATTTCTTGTTCTTATAATATTGAAAAAATTCTTTTCAGGCCTGATCCCTTTTCAAGCCAGAAAGTACTTCACCCTACAGAAACCTCAACCGCTGAATAAAAATATTTACTATAGGGGAAAACTGATGACAGAAAATGATGAGAACAAACTCACTGGTATTGAGATGGGTCTCTGCAAAGTTCTACTCCAGGCCTGTAGGTTCTGTTGTAGAGGCGGGTTTGGGCCACCTTCAGCGGGTCTTCCTTGTCTCTGATGGCCTTCTCCAGATCGGCGATGTTTGACTCCTGGTCCTTGATCTGCTTCACAACCTACAGAGGGAAGAAAAAGAAACACGGGATCATTTGTCTATTAGCCTTTTAGACAGCACTGGCAACTGCATATCTTTGATACAGGTTTTATCCACGCATCCAGGTTGAAGTAAAGTACGAAAGTACATGTACCAAATCCAGATAGAGACCTGCGATTTTGATGGGTACAATAACTTAGATTTCTTATTCCACAACCTTGGCAACAGCACATCAGCAATATTACATGACACCAAAGGTTGTCAGACACCAGAAGGAAAATGACGAACAATGTCAGTATCAAAAGAAAACCCTTAGTGGCAAAAAGGGTGCTTATACATTTAGTCTTATTCCACAACAATGAAAACCATATTATGATGTAAAAGTAAAAGCGTATAAACAAAAAAAGTCTGCTTTGGGAAACTCATTTAACTGATTCAGTCCTGAACACATTTCAGCCTATATCAATTTCATTGCCGGGTGGGGTTGAAGAATACTGAGTAGACAGGAACATAACTGAAAGAATTTTTATGGCTTGCACAGTGGTGAGATAGCAGTAGCCGCAAGTTACCTGAATGGACAAGAAACTCACACTTTGTTAAACTGTATACCCCAGAATCAAGAAACATCTTTAATATTAGTAATAACCAGTCATTATAAGAAAATAGGACAGTTTGCATCCTTGACCAATGACCTTGTCATCTTTATCATGTTTTCAACTAGCATTTGTGGTTCATGGACAATAAAACTCACCTTGTTGAGATTTTCTTCCAGCTTGGTCTTGGCATCCTCCATCTGGGCAATTCTCTTTGTGAAGTTGACATCCACCTGGTCGGCCTGTTCACGCATGTCTCTGGACGTGTCCTCCAGCACATTGTCCACCAGGGTGCGCAGCTGTATGCTGGCCATCCTCTCATGCTCTGCACGGGCAATGTTGTCGTGTGTGAACTGCGCCCACGACTCTGGGGTGGACTGACTGGAAACAAAAGACAGAATAGTGTTGAAAACAATACGTCTTTTTATTCAATGATCTTATTTTTATTTGTACTCGTCTGCTAATTCGTCATCATCATTACTGTCATCCTCATCATCATCATTATAATCATCATCCTTGTCATCATCATCTTCATACACTTATCCTTTTGAACTCTTTTTGCAGTATTTATTCACTTTTGTTCTGTTGTGTGTAGAAGCTCTGTCTTTGTATCTGTGCCAGTGGTTCTTTTCAATGACAGAAATAAATACAACCTTTTGTGACATACTCACATTTCTTCAAACTTTGCAGCTCCATCGTGGAATTGTTTGTTGGTGTGGTGATTTCTCAGAGACCCACTCTTTGTTTCGATTTCCAGAGCCTCTTTCTTGTCACTCCAGTCCATTTCCAGATTTTGCTTGGCATCACGGTTAAGTCTGTTTTGAGAAAATAGTAAAAACGAACGGATTTGAAGAATACAAGACTTTAACTTTAATACAACTTCTCATACCTGCTTTCTAGGCACAGAGCTTTCAAGTCTTTACATAATAGCTAAATGTATTTCTATAATAGCAACAGTTTGTAGATTTTCACTCTCATGACTACATTGCCTTTCTATGACACAATGAGGAAAAAGGTCAGTTCATAGAGGCAGGAGAGATTGATTCTCAAATAAGTCATATTAGATTTTATAAAACCCCAACAACTGTAATGGAGTTTCCAACATGTATTATTACTGGAACAGATAGAAATTGATTACTTATGATGGCCTTTAAAGTACCACAGGCTGTAAAACCAGCATCTGTGGTGTAGCAGTTAGGTGTTTAGCTGTCACCTACTAGAGACACGAGTTTGATTCCTGTGTGGGGACGATTTTTATTGAATATTTCTTTTTTTCAGCCCAAGTTGGTCCTGACAGATGGGGTCAAAGAAGCCAACTTCCTAAATGATCTAAAGTGTCGATTGGGGCATCTACTTCTACGAGGGATATCCAGAAAGTAAGTACCGTTTTAAAATAATGATAAAAGAAATAATTTTCCCAATCAAAACGATATATTTATTTTTTAAAATTGCTCTACACAGTTTTTAAAATGTTTTGCAGTACATATCAGAATTAATTGTCATCCCATTTCCCCAAAATTCTACCAAAAGAACTCCTTGCCTGTCCCAAAACACTATACACATGACTTTTTTTTCCTGACGCAGCCTGCGTAGAGCAATTCAAACAAAAGACGCTGAATGCTTAGCGACGGCGTTGTTCTGCTTCACGACGATGCAACTCTTCACAAGTCTGCACAGACCCAAAACCTGATGGCCTCCTTCGGATGGGAACAATTGAAGTACCCATCGCACAGCCCACACCTGGCTCCGAGTGACTTTCATCTGTTCCTGCATTTGAAAAAGTTTTTGACCGGGCAGGACTTCGACTCAGACACTGATCTCACAGGAGAGACTGGACATTGGCTGACATCGCAAGCGTCAGCTTTCCATGATAAGGGCATTCAGAAGCGTGTCCCACGCAACGACAAATGCCTCAACAGTTCTGGTGACTACGTGGAGAAGTAGTCATATATATGAGGTATTAAAAAATAAATTGTTTTGATTGGGAAAATTATTTCTTTTATAATTATTTTAAAACGGGACTTAGTTTCTGGACGTCCCTCATACAATAACATTACTATTACAAAGGCTGTAAAAAAAGTGAATTGGCTGTGGATATTTCTTACTTAAGAGTTAAATGTTAAGAAAACAGGTCAGTCACACAAAAAATCTATATAATTATGAACTTGCATTCATTAATTATAAACTTTATTTATCTTCCTCTCAAACAAACACATAGGACACACTCTATGGGATAACACAGCAGAGTTATAGAGCACTTGCAAACAACAATTCATAGCACTTGAAGAAGACAACAAACTAAAAATGTTGATTTATGTGATGACTTCCAGAATTGTGGCAGTGCATTGCAGAAGATGGTTCACGTCTGCAATATATTTTTATTTTAATGTACAATATACAAGGATCTATTTTCTAAAGTTCCAGAAAACAGAAAATATTTTATTACTTAAAAAAAAAAAGAATCTTCCCCTCCCTTACCTATTTCTAAGACAAGAGTATAAAGGGCGTTTTATTAAAAGAACTAAAAGAAAACAAACCATACGTGTGACATTGTGGTGAAATCAGGATCTGGTCAAAATAACGAAATCAAAGAAACCAACTTTTTTTCCACCCTTTAGGCAATTTTAAGAATTTTGTTTTGTTTTGGATTCCTGCATGGGTTTTACTAAAACACGTTGATCAGAGACACAAAAATGTGAATTTTCCATTTCCAAGGACACTACAGCTTTGGTAGTCACCAAAATTTGGCAGCTATTTTCTTGCCAATATTACCTTTGCTAATAGGCACCCCCCCCCCCCCAACTTCCTTCATTCGCAAATCGTCATGCTCATTTGATAATTGCCTAAGTAAATTAGGGGAAAAACTGAGCTAGGGCCACATCTAGATAATTTGATTAGTTCCCCAGATTTTTGTCAACAGTTGTTTTAAACTTTGTATTTTCATAAAACCAAAAACATATAATTTCAAAAGAACTATATGTGTTGTGTCTATTTTTTAAGTGCAACAGTTTTTTTTATTTTTCTCAAAATGCCAAAAAATTACCAAGGAAGTTATCAAATGAGCATAACGAATTATCTCCATTTCTATAAGAGATAGATGAGTTTTTTTTCATTAAAAGCAAGCTTTTAGATTATATAAACAACTCCATATGCCCAAAAACTGATGATTCCACCGTGTCGTGACACATATAGTAAGTTTCAGTTTCCCATGACAATCAATAAAAAATGTTATGTTAATTGAATACAAAAAGTCTGGAGGTGCTGCTTACATATTTTCCTCAATGAACTAAATCATTGTACAGTGAAACTCAGATTCAACGAAGTTGCCGGATCTGACCTAAAATCTTGTTGAATCCGAGTGTTCGTTATAGCAAACATTAGGTTTTTTGGAGATAATTACAGGCTCTGAGCAAGTAATGAAAAAAGAGAAGTAACAATTGGTGCCTGAAATGCCTGCATATTATGAGCTATGTAAAAAAAGACAGATTGGTTCAAATGCACGCCTGTGTCATCTCGATTGAGTGCCAAAAAATTGTGTTGCTGTGTAGAGCCTAGCATACGGAAACTTTTGATTCCATAGAACAGCGCACAATATTTATTATCTAGATCTACGTCAAGACTAGCTTATCACTGTAATAATGATCAGTTGCCAGGGGAAAAAAGACTGACATGTTCGTATCTGCGATGTTCCACGCCCAGACCGATGATGCCCCCCTCCCCTTTCCCCCCGACACGCACACATAATCACACGTGTGCAGGCTGCCCATCCGACCCCGACACACGCTAGAGTAGACACGTGCGTGCCAACAACGAATATGTTGTTACGAAAGAAGGCCGCTGATTGGTCGCATGTAATCAGCTAAGTGAATAGCCTAATCGTTAACGATGCAGGTGCAATGGATGGTTTCCGGAAAATGATACAGTTCGTTGTGGGAGAAAAATGAGCGAAAGCAAAGTCTGTGGGGGCTGTTCACCCTGGAAGCGGCCTCGTTGAATCTGAGCTTCATGCTGATTTAAGTGCTCTTTGAATCCGGGCTATTTTTATTGATTTTAACGAAGAAAAAGAACGGGGAATCCATCTCCTTTCGTTGAATGCAAGTTCTTGTTGAATCTGAGCTCGTTGAATCCGAGTTCCACTGTACAAACGGCTGTTCATCAAGCCTTTTGGTCCCCTGAGAGCTCGGAAAAGTTACAATAGATAAAAAAGAACATTATATTTGACTCTCACCTGATTTGCTTTTCTGTCTGATTGATGGTATTTTTTAGTAGATCTTGCACATTGTTGATAATTTCCACCTCCTGCAAAAAATAATGCGTGGGAAGGCTTTCCAATAGAATTGTTATCAAAGCACTCAAAGTATGCCCCACAGACAATAAAAATCACTTCTGCTCAATACCAAGTTTACAAAAATAAATGCCCTTTATTAAGAGAAAGTGGGAAGATACAAGTTTCTTAATTTTTCATACTCTATCTTAATTTTCAATTTCCTCAACTCAGCATTTTAAAAGTTATATAATTGAATCTGATGATAAATTGAGTAATCTTTCATATATCTATCCCTCTTTTTCATTAGAATCTGATACTTTCCCTATCTCACTGAACTAGCCAAACATTCCAAGTTACAGGCTTTATCACAGGTAGAGAAGTCTTAGTGACTGGAATATTCTACTTCATATTTCTATTCCATACTGTACAATAAAGAGGTGTTTGATTGCCTCATATGTAGTGCAATGTGGAAGCGTCACACATCTGGTTTATTTGAAAGTAAGTCCAAGGCAACACCACTCACCGAAACTCAAAGACGAAGTGAGCACTATCAATTATCAGGAGGAATTCTATTAACTACAGTGGTAAATTACCTTAAGTAGAGAAATTTCCACATCATCTTGCACCAAATCAACACCCAGACGACGTTGACGGCAGTTGAGGTTATCAGTGGCAATATGAAGGGGTACCTCAGTAGCTCTCAGAGCATTCTCCAGGCGTTTCTTTTGAGCCAGTAGTAAGTCAGTTTCATCAATCACATCCTGGGAAAAAGAAAAACAGTTCATATTGTTGATCCTGCACAATGTTAAAGCAAATATTCAAAGCAACTCCCATCAAAGAATTTTAACAGATATATGAACGTTATTGGAACAAAATAAAGTACAGAAACAAATTAATGCTTTGTCAAATCTTTTTTAAAAAGGACAATTTACAGTAGGCCTAAAAAGGCATCACAAGTTTTTTCCCTTTCAATGAAAAAGTCTTCTATTGCAGCCTTCTCTCTCTGTAGTAAATCTATACACCAGCCTCAGAGCTTATCATAATCATTCATTGAAATGTGGTTTCTTTGGAAACTGTTGAGAATTTCATAGAAGGAATAGAAATCAAATGATCTAGTACTTGAAGAAGCCTGGGTGGGCTGCTTGCCGATAAAAACAATTAGGAAGAGATAAATGCAGTTTCTAGGACACTTGAACAGACAAAACTGCTTTGAATACCTAGTTCTCACCGGTAAAACTGAAGGCAAACAAGGCAGCAGTAAATCCAGAGTTACTTATTTGGAAAGCATAAACAGATGGGTGACGGGGAAAGATCAGAATAATGTATAGCTCTATTTCAGAGCATCCGAGGCAAGGAATGAATATGGTGAACCATGATCACCAATGCCTGTTGTAGAAGTGGAACTTGATGCTGATGATGATATGATGTATATATATATATATACATACAGTTGAACCTGTGAAAGACGGAATCGCAAGGGGACCAGAAAAAAAAAATTAGGTCTCAGACAGGGGAATTTAGGGGGAGATGGAAAGGGTGGGGAAGGGGGGGGGTGGTCAAAGGCCCAGTCCGTGGGTTCAAAGGCCGCTCATCTGGTTGGCAAGCAGTGGTCAAAACTTCACACCTCTTGAGTGCTATAGATCCTCTCTGATAATGACATGCTTACTTATCCAATTACCACCAGTGCTTGCCTTTCATTGGACCACTGCTTGACCTATTAAAAACAGAAATGTTTAACATCTCCTTTGCTTCCACCGTTAGCCCCACCCACCGGTATAACAAGCACAGTCAACCAATGCCATCCCTCACTGCCATCATGTAACATCGATTCGAGGAACTCTTTTCTCGGCTGGCCGCACGATCAGGGCAGCAGGCATTGGTCAATCCAATTTCACATCTTTGGCTTCTGACTACCCAAGACAGTTTCTGTAGTGGCTCGCTACTCAAGCACTCTCATGGGCAGTCGTGAGACTTCACACCCACACTACCCTGACCATCTGTTTCCTTCAGGGCTCACATGATGGGGTAACATCTACCCCCAAATTGCACCCCTACTCCCCCTTCCTCGCCCAGCGGCATGGCCATGGCGCTAAGTTTAGAGCCGGCGTAACCAAACTTGCAAGCTTTGTTTCAAATCAGGGCTGAGCGGGCAAAGCATTTTCCGTCTTAGACGGGTGAAACCCTCGGAAGGGAGCAGATTTTTCTTTCCGTTTTCGCGTTGGACAGGTTTCCGTTTTATACAGGTAATTAAATAGGAAAATATCAACGGGGGAGTGGGAAGATTCCGTTAAGACAGGTTTCAGTTTTATACAGGTTTCCGTTAAGGCAGGTTCGACGGTATATATATTGAACCTATTAATGTATATCTTTTGTACGTAAAAATGGTTTAATTACAAGAAAGAGAAGGGAAGCATTTGGGAAGCTTCAGTAGTGCTAGGTGTTAGTGGTTAGGCTACTGGACTTGTAATCGTGAGGTTGCGGGTTCCGGGGTTCGAGGGTTTGAGTCTCAAGACTGACATTGTCCTTGGGAAAGGCACTTACATGAATATTCCTCACTTTGCCCAGGTGAAAAAGGGAACCCGGCCATAGACAGCGAAAGATCTTGTCAATATGATATTAGTGTATTAGCGCTCACAAAAAATGGCAGCTCTAGCTTGCACATGATGCTTCCCACGAAGTGACATTGTTTCAGCATGCTATAATGGCTGTTGTTGAGGGGGAATTTGCACTATACAAATGCCCTCTATTATTATTAAGTTCTAAATTCAGAACAAATGTTTCGGTAACTTCAGAAAATAAAATACATTTCATCGTTTTCCATGAGCCTACAGATCTAGAATCTAGATCTAGATCTAGATTCTAGATCTAGATCTAGACCTAGTGGCCCAGTATCAAGGAAATAAAGTTTTAAAAAACCCAACAAAATTTTTAATAGCCTTACCATGACAATTTAACACTTAAATTTACCTGAATTTCTCTGTTGAGTTCGAACTTCCAAAACTCGATGTTCTTTGCACTCTCTGCTAGCTTTTTGGTTGCCTCGGCTTGAGTCCTGTTTGTGGTTTCTTCCGCCTCTTTGACAGTCCTCTTTGACTCATGAATGGCTCTCTCTGCATTATCTCGGTCCACAAACGACTGGTAGTACTTAGAATAGTTACTCTCCTGCCATTCTGATGGGTTAAATTTCGCAGAGCGGAAACCCATGGTTGAGATACCCATATCGTTTCCAGTGTTGCCTGTGTATGTTATCTCCATATTTGGGTTAGGATTCACAACAGGCGCTGGAGGATCGGGGGGAACCTCACGGCTAGCCAGAGTAGCTGTTGCTGGCATTGCTTGTTCCACAGCAGCCATCCTGTTTCCCTTTCAAAGTATATGTAGCTGAAGGATAGGCCGCCAAACGGTGTTGATCACGGCTCTACACTCTTTTTGGTCAATAATGAAAGGGGTCGCTAGAGGCAACGTTTACTTCCGATTACGTATCCAAGGAAGTAGGTGGCTCTCCTATCGCCGATGTGACCAGATGTGACGGCAAAAGAGGGAGCGTAACATGGGAAATAACTCATTTTCTCGTCCGTAAGAGGGGGTGTTCCTTTTAATTTTAAATTAAAATATATATGATTAAATTGTACCAGAACGAAAGGAGCGAAATAAATACTTTTCATGAAGATAACAAGAAAATGGAGAAAAACAATCTTAATTAACTATTGTATCATAATATATTAGATCTACAGATCATTCGCTGTTGAGTCTTTATTTTTTGTGTTAAGCACAGAATTCTACCTGTGGTGTTCAGATAAAAGCGTCCATTATTATCGTAGTAAAGTAGTAGCCCACCCTGACTGAGAAGCAAGACCGGTATAACCTATTGCACCGGCCGCCCCCCCCCCCCCCTTCCATAAAAAAGAAAGGAATGAAAGATGTCAATTGCCATAATTTGTTTTGTTGTAGGAGAGACGGAAAATAAAACACTGCGCAGCCATTTACTTTTATATTTCGACTACGATATTCTTTCCTCCGTTTCCGTCTGGGGTGTAAACGGTAAAAAACAGTCATTCATGCACTTCTTATTTTATCTATTTATTCTTTTTTTTTTTTTTTGGGGGGGGGGTAAGTGTTTTACGGCGCTTGTAACTGCGTGAGGTCATATGAACGTGCGGCATGCATTAAACATTTTCAGTTGGTAGGAAATGTTGAATGTTGCCCGGGTGGCGACCGAATCCTACTACTACTAGGCCTAGGCCTACTATTATTTGATTTGGACCACCCACCATTAGTGGATCTTTAATGTGCGCTACTTGTACGGGACCTCCGAGATTTTTCGCCCTTTTCCCGAGGGGGCTAGGTAGATCTTTCCTACCATAAGATCAGGGGTGTGGCTGAAGAAAGACAGCAGTAAGAAGGAGCCAGTGGGTAGCAGCTGAAAGGCTGCAGAAAAAGGAGGGGACAAAGGAGGTGAGGGGGCATTGGAGACGAAAGCAGACGACAGAACATTGTGTTAGAGCACAGGAAAGGGTGTGAGTGTAAAAGTAAAAGGAGAAACATTTCCGTCGCTATCCGGGTTCGAACCCGGGACCTATACATGTATATATGTAATAGATTAAAATAGAGGCGAACACCTTAACCTCTAGACCACGAGAGCCCCCTTCTTATACAGTTGTAACAATGTAGGCCTATGCACATGCGAGCATCCATAAATTCCATCATGCTTGAAATAATAGTGTGTAGTGTGATGTGAACACTCTAGAAGCAGCCTAAATACTTCTCCCCCCCCCCCCCCCCCCTCTCTCCCACTCTCTCTCTCTCTCTCTCTCTCTCTCATTTCACCCTTTCACCTCGCAGCTATTTCAGCAGGTGTCAGCTTCTGGAGCAAACATTGGCGATCATGGCACCCCACTCCTTTCTGTTGTCAACTCAGTATTTCTCACTGACAATGTGTTATTTGTCACAAAGTTGTTCGCCCACAATTACTGTAGATCTATTTGTTGTTCTGTCATTCCTCTGCTGTTCTTTCCTTCTAGGTTCTATTTTTTCACACAGCAGCAGTTCCTCAAGTTCGTTCTATTTATTTTATGTGGCCAAATTATAATCTCAATCTCAATTGCCTCTTTCTTCTGATGGTTCTTTTACAAACTGCCATTTGGAGCACATCTGTTAATCTGTGCTTGGTTTTTTTTTCCATCTGTCCATTAGGTTTTGAGTATTCTTCTTAGCGTATTCCACATTTTGGCGGCTTTTTTCTTGTCTTCTTTAATTTCATTGTCCTTGTCTAGAGCCCAGCTCTCACATGCATGCAAAAGGATTGATCATGCGTATGTTTTCTAGGGTTCTTATCATCGAGTTCCGTTGTTTCTGTTTGAAAAGAGAAGACAGGTTTCACCATGTAAATTTCCTCAAATATAGCAATTCTCTTTTCTAAAGTCTTCGTCTTACTCTTTTGTACCTGGTCTACTTGTGTTACCGAGATCAGAACTTGAAAAAATTTAGTCTGGGTTTTTTTGTGGATCTTCTTACTTGTGATGTTGCATCTTGGAGTATCGGCACTTTTTGATAACATGAACTCATACATTTTTTGTACATTAATACAGTAGAACACGGCTATAGCGGGACATTTTGTTCCAGAAGAAAATCCCGCTGTAAGCGAGTTCCCGCTCTAGGGATGCAAAGGGAAAATTACCGACAAACTTCTAAAAATCCTCATGAATACCTCCCTTTTATGTCAATAAAATTTGCGCTTTTGATTAGTCTTCCTTTTCTTGTCAACTTTGTTGATCATCTCGTGTTTAAATTCCAGTGAGAAATATTCCCTTTTGTCATTTTTGGAAGCCATCTGTTCCTCGGTTTCATTGCTTGTGCTGTCTATCGTACCGGAAGAGCAACTGTAGAACTGGTGAAGTGGATGCGTGCGTATGCCTATGAGCATCAGCGATCGCAATTCAATGAATCAGGAATCAAATACCACACGCTCTCCTCTTCTACTTTTTGGCCTAGCCTAAGCCTAGGGCTATGGCCTATACCCTCTCATATTGAGCCTCTAACTAAGTCTAAGCTACGGCACATCACTTTTGGAGTGGCCCACGTAACGCGTCTCTCCGCACCATCTCTCTATGCCACCTGCCCCACCTTACTTATCACTGAACTGGCCAATCACAACGCAGCACCACTGACTGCCTGTTACGAGCCCGCCCCGAGTTCGGGCCTTTCCTTGCCACGCTATACCCGAGCACAGGAAGAGAGATAGAAAAAAAGGGGATTCCAGTAAGGTCCAGCTGTAGTCGTGTTCTACTGTATACAAAATACAATACACACCAATGCACGTTTGCGTGTGCTGGTATACACCATTTTCTTTCCATTCATTTGTCCTGCGCAAGATGTCCAAACTCATTACATGACATGTTTCTGTTACCTTTGACTTTGAATGCACTTATCTTTCATCCTCATCATAGACCTAGATGTATCTTCTAGTTCTAGACTTTCTCAATTAGTGGGGTCCAAAATATAAATTATTTGCGAATACAGAGAACAGAACAAATACATGTATTTGGTGTGGAGCATGTGAATGTGACCAAACCTATCCATTAGTTAATATAATAACTTCTTCCAATCCCACAGACTTATCAAATGTCTGTAGCTGTTGACGCCTTTTGTCCCAGACCTGGAAGCCAATGCAAATGAGCATGTCCATTCGGGGGCATAAATGATTCATTTTCTGGCTTAGTTTCAACATGATAGAGATGTAGAAGTAGAAGGAACTGAATGCTTCCTGTAATCATACATGAATACAGTGGAACTCGGATTCAACGAGATGAGATAGATTCCCCGTTTTTCTTCTTCTTTAAAATCAATAAAACTAACCCGGATTCAACGAGCACTTAAATCAACGAGCTCGGATTCAACGAGGTCGCATCCAGGGTGAACACCCTCGCAGACGTGGCTTCCCTAATTTTTCTACCAGAACAAACTTTATATATTCCCGGAAACCATCCATTGCACCTGCATCGTGAACCATTATTCACTTAGCCGATTGCATGCGACCAGTCAGCGACCTTTTTTTTTTCATACCAACATGCGTTGTTTGCACGTGCACATGTTTTCTCTAGCGTGTGTTGGGGACGGATGGACGGCCTGTACATGGGTGGCTGTGTGCGCGTGTCTGGGGGGGGGGAGGGGCACTAGCGGTCCGGGCGTTGAACGTTGCAGATAACAACGCGTCAGTCTTTTTTCCCTTTCGGCAACTGATCATTATTATTATCACAATGATAAGCTAGTCTTGACGTAGATGTACATAAATGAATTGTGCGCTGGTCTGTGGAATCGAAAGTTGCCGTATGCTAGGCTCTACATAGCAACACAACTTTTTGGTAAACTATCGAGATGGCACAGGCGTGTGCATTTGAACGAATAGGTCTTTTTTTTTTTTTACACAGCTCATAATATGCAGGCATTTCAGGCACTACAACATGCAGTGACTTTTCTTTATATACATTAGATTCTACTTGCTCAGTGCCTGTAATTATCTACACAAAACTTCGTGTTTGCTATAACGAACATTCGGATTCAACGAGATTTTAGGTCAGGCCCGATGACCTCGTTGTATCCGAGTTCCACTGTATGTACCTTGAATCTTTGAGGATTCCCCAGAAGTTACTACAAAACGCAACTATATGGGGAGTTTTAGTTTTAGTTTGGTTTTACGGCGCTCGCAACTGCATTAGATGGGTATTTGTAAATCAAAATGACAGATTATTACTCTATATCTTATGTGCAGCACCTTCCAGTAGTTTAACTGTGCTATCCGATTTATTATTATTGACTCAGGTTATTAATAACACCCCCCCCCCCTA